ACGACGGTATTAACGATAACGAAAAGTTATTATATACTTATAAAACGGAGACATGTAGGACACGAGTGAACGGCGCGGGCACAAGTAGTCGTTCGGAAATTAGTTAATTAGCAGTTAGTAATTAGTCGACGTTGACTAAACATTCAATGTACGCGAATATACGCGGCGACTTGCGCATATGTGTACGTAGATAATTAACGTAAATAATAACGTAAAGGAATACGAGCGTTTAAAGTTAAATATACGACATGCACTTGATAATAATTACATCCTCCAAGTTATAACTCGAAGAGAACAGAGACATACACACGATATGCACATGAAAGAGAGAGAGAGAGAGAGAGAGAGAGAGAGAGAGAGAGAGAGAGAGTCTTGATCGGATCAGTAACCGGGAAGTATTCGCTGAGGCACATCTTCGATTCGCCAGGCATGTTACATCCGACAACCGTTTATTTTTAGCAATATCCTTTGCGATAGATTCGTATCGATATCCGCATGTAAATACGACCGGGGGATTAAATGTGTTTTTTACGATTATCGCCGATATAACCGACGACAATCACGACATATAGACGTAATTATTCACGGCCCGTAATTACGCGAATTTATCGTTAAAATTCTCCCCGAAACATGAATATTTTATATAATTAATAATAATGTATAATTGTAATAATTAAACTGCGCGCAAATGTATGATGCTAATTATGCAGCTTTGCTGCGTTCTTCAGCGCTCGCTTCGAATGTCCGCTGCAGATACTGCTGTGATACATTTTAAATGTTCCACGAATAAAATGATAAGTTATATAGCTAGCTTCAGTAAACATGTATCATCGCTCGATGTTTACTCGATTAACGTACTCGAAATAATCTTCCCCGCATATAAAACATGGAAACGCGCTACCGATATGTACATTCGTATCAATTTATCGGTTAGAAATTTGCGGGAAATTAACGACGTTAATTGCGCCGGGTTGTTGTAACGTCGAAGAAACGCGTTATCCCGAGAAAGAGAGAGAGAGAGAGAGAGAGAGAGAGGTGCATCAGTCCAGCGAGATAAGAAATCACGGCTAGGCAATTTCACGTCACTATCAGCCGTGATTATCACTCCTTGTCTTTTTCCGCGTTGTTTCACGCGGATGTGGAAAAATAACGAAACCGACCGCCGCTAATCGAGATTGTTATCACGATAACTGAGTTCGTGACGATACCATTTTTCCACGCTCCGCGATCAACGTGTTGGGAGCTACAGATGTAATTTTACACCCGGATTACCATCTCGGCCCGTGTTAAAATTTCCATATTCCGACAATGTTTTCCGCGGCAGTCTCACGACTCTCTCCAGAGCCATCATACTTAAAAAAAAAAAAAAACGCGAAACGTTTAAACTGGCTTAGTCGTCTTAATTTTTCTGCGAGTCATAGACCAAAAGAGAGAGAGACAGGATGTATCATTAAATACCCGATATCTTTCATCGATCCCGCGTCCGAAGAATTGCCGTTCGCGTTCTTGGGATACTTGGGACTACTTATCGAGAATTATTTATCGACGAAACTGCCTTGTATTATTCACGAATATATAAGCTCTCGTCCCGCGGAAAGAGAAAAAAAACTAGAGCTATTAACCGGTCATTAAGGCTTGTCGAGTTGACAAAGCGGAAAGCAGCGTTCTTCGCAAACGATTCTCTACCGTTCTGTTTTGCCTATTTACTCGTTAACGACTTTTTTTCCGCGGAAAAATCGCGAGACGCACGCACGCACGCACGGCAGACAGGCACGCGCGCGCGCGCGCGTGTGGAATTGGAGCGACCGCCGCCGCGTGAATTAATTGCCATTTGTCCCGTGACGTGAAACGAACCGCTGCGAGAGGAGTGCTCGATCGTATTTATACGCCCCGTCGTTTCCGAACAATGTAATGTACCCGCGTGTTCGCTCGTCGTCGTCGTCACGTGTTCCCGACGCGAAACATGTGAGTCGTCACGTACGTGGGTGTACCCCGAGGAAACTTCGACTTCTATTTATCACGTCGGCGTCCCATTTTCAGAATTTCGACGCGATCGATCCCTCTACACATCGACTGCCACGTCATTCATGTAGGAATCACGCTCAATCTTATTGGAAGATCTTCCTGGAAGAGCCTAACGCGTTTCCTTTCATAATTTATCTTCTTTTTGTTGTAAAACATTATACAAAAATTTGCTGTTGAATTGTCATTTGCATTTGAATGACAGCGGGTTTCGCTCTCTCGGAAACGAGGAGTGTCATTCGTATGACGTGGCGCTAGTCAATGCGCTAATGGGATCTTGTTCTCACGAAGACGAGGCTTTACTGCGAACGATTTCTGGGAAGAGTCCAAAGCCGAATCTTTCCTCGATGGGAATTCGAACGGGGCGAGGGGCAATCGGGGAGGCACGTCCTTTCTCGCTGTTTCAATTTTTGCGAATGCGGGAGAGACGATTTTGCATCGAGGCGTACAGTCGTGGACAGATCAGTTGCAACATTTTTTTTTTATCTGGTCTCGGAACGCACTATTATTTTGCAAATGCGGACCACGATTGATGTACTATCTTTAGTCTAGAAACAATACACCAATCGTGATTCGCATTTGCAAAATATTAGTGCGTTCCGAGATCAAAATAAAAAAAGTTCCAAATAAAAAAAAGTGTCGCAACTGAATCTGTCCACGACTGTACACTTACGCAGAGTGATATCGCTTCTCCTTCAATGGACCTTTCACTTTTCTTTTCGTAGACGAAAAGAACGATTTTGCTGGAAGGTCAAAATTGGATCTGAAAATAATTTTGTTGCACGGAAATCAAAATTATTTTCAGATCCAATTTTGAATTTTGCTCCCAGCAAAATCGTTCTTTCCGTGATAATAATAAAATAATAACAAGAATAAGAAGAAAGGTCTCAACGTGACTGGATTCAAATCAACGCGTGTCCTGTTGTCGCGTATATGCATATGAACGGGTGCAGCGTATACACATCCGCGATAGATCCAATTAGAAAATGTGTCTTCGGGCGTCGCGTCTATTTTATGGCCGCAATTGATTCTATCAAGGCGAGATCAAAGCGAAGGCGATGACTCGTCCTTTTATATCGAGTTACGTCAATACGGTTCTCTCTCCTTGTTCGAAACGAGCGTGGAGATAGATATACGTCGTTCCCCCGTATTCGGTCGATTGACTTTGTCTTTCGGACACGCCGCCGGCCGCCCCCGTCGCGGTTGGCTCGAATTCCAAGTATTAAAAACTCCAACGGTCGGCATTATTATTCGGCTGGGTATATTATACACATATATACAATCGGGGGAAATTCCCGGCGCACGCGCGCGCGCTAGCCGTTTGCCGTAGGTCAAGGATTATACAGGCGTATATTGCGCGTTTTTGAGCCTCGAGCGACGACGTGCACTTCTCGCACGCGTGATTACGTACTTTGCGAGCGATCGACGAGTGCTCCCCTCCGCCCACGCAGTAACAGTGACGATTGTCGCATTTAAAGTTCCTCTGAATGCAAGCGAAGACGATCGCATTTGCGTTCCGTAACAGTCACGATCCGGCGGAGAGAATTGTCTCCCATCTCGATTACAAATACAAAACGAACGCGTATACGACGAACGAATGTGCAAAAATTCAATCAGTCAAGCCTGCCGATGATTAACGAGAATGCACCCTACTCGCGTATCATAAATGAACGACGACGTGCGGAGCTATATTGCATTTAACAGCGAATAAATTGGAATTTGTCTCGCTCTTACGATCTAATGGATTTAATAAGATTCAAATGTTTTCGTCGCGAAACTTTTGGAAATCTCATCTCTTTAAAATTCCCGATTCATTCCGTCAGTCGAGATCGTCCTGATCGTTTTATTCTGTCAATCCCGATGTCCAGCTCTCAAGAGTCAGATCAATCATCGCTCCGTGAGACAAGTTTGATTAATAAGAAATTTATGAACAAACGTCAATATCAGATTATATCGGAGTCACGAAGAATTAAGGAAACAACCGATCTTGAATACGAAATCTGTACTTCTACAGTTCTCTGTCAGTTTTCGATTGACAACCGGAAAATAAAAAGTAGAAAAAAAGTTATATAAATTAGAATTAAGAAATTTACGAAAAGCGCGAGATCAGTCTGGCATTCGCAAGGCTCTCGGTTAGCTCGCTCGCGGAGCAGCGCCTCCGGCTTGCAGGCCACGTGCCCCCCGCGTGCACGTGCCCGAGACGCAGTGTTTACCTGTGCATGCGTGCGCCGTGCTTGCGTGCGTATCGCGCCGATCGGCCGCCGCCGTCGTTCTCTATAAACGTGACGTCGTCGCCCGCGTCTCGTCCGGCACCGCGCGCGCCGAGACAAGTGCCCTAACGCGTCGTAAACGCGGGAGAGATACGCGCTTTCCTCGCGCGCCGCGTCGTCGGCGCGCGAGTTTCGTTATCGTTATCGGGCGCGCGCGCGCGTGCACACGAATTCGCGTGCACGTCGCCACACAGGTGAACGCGCGCGTGCACGCGTGCAGCGAGGGACGCACGTCGTCGGCGGTCCCTCTATCTAATGAGAACGGAGAAGCGCGTTATCACGCGGCGCGCGCGATTGGCAAAAAAGAGAGGAACGTCATATGTGCAGTACAAACACACGCACAAAGCCGTCTCGCGCACGCGGGCGCGCGCCCGCGCGTGCTATGTGTGCGTGCAGACGGGACGCGCCACACATACACATACACACGCGCGCGCATATATATTGTATATATGAGGGAGCGCTCGCGCGATTTCTCTCCTCTTCTGCCGCTCCATCTTTCTCTTTCTTCCTCCGTCTGCATCGTACCCTCCGACTCTGCCTCTACTTTTCTCTTTCTTTTTTTTTCCCTTCTTTGTTTCCCGTCTCTTTCTACTGCATCGTATCGCGACGTCGGTGCCGCGAACACCGTCGCACGCGCGACATACAAAGGGAATTAAACGAGGAGACTCGGCAGAACTCAGGTGTATACACGTACGTGTACGTACGTACCTTGGTATAGTGATGCACTTGGTGTTGCAGCTCTGCGTCGTGATGGCCTTCTCGAGCTCGTCGAGGCCCGCCGACTTCTTGAGCTTCTTGACCAGACTCTTAACGGCCTTCTCGCTCCATTTGTCCTCGCTCTCGGCCTTCTTCCAGCCCAGCAGCCGCTTGACGATAGGCGGGTTAAAGCTGGGCAGCATCGAAGTCATCATTTGCCCTGAGACGAGCGCGCGCGACCCGCATCGGGGCCGCTGTCGGACGGCTTGTCGTCGTCGTCGCCGCCGCCGCCGCGATGCGCGTACCTACGGAGCGTTTACGCGATTGTCGTTCACCGCGCGCCCCCCGGTCTACCCTCTCACGCCCGGTCGCCCTGGAGTGGAGAAGAGACACTCGGCGGCTCGCGGATCGGCGGCCGTGTGCACGCGCGCGCGCGCGCGCCGAATACCGATCGCGGACTCGCTCGCTCGGCGGCTCGCGGGCCCTCCGTCCGTACGTACCCCGGGTGCCGCGACAAGATCACTCACTCTCGCACGCAGACGGCGAATATTTTGCCACGGCCGCCATACTGCATCCCGAGCGCGCGACTCGGCGCGACTCGGCCGAGATCGGCGATCCTCGTTACCGGCCGCGGGAAACGCCGTGCGACTAGACCGGCGCACTCGCGCGCGCGCTCGTGTTTATTTGGTGATTTATCACCACGTGTTGTTCAGATCGAACGAGATGGGCTTCTTGTATGTCGTAGGCCAATCAAATTAGGTAATCGGGACTAAATGAGACTGGGCCAATAGGAAGACACATTTTCTTAGGAGTTCCAGCCAATGGTTGGACTTGCTTTTTGGATGGCCTTTTCAACGTGTTCCGAAATTCATTGAGAAAAGTATTCCAATCATGATATTTTCGTTCTTTCTGTTTGAGTGCATTTGAGTGCGTTATCTTACGGCTAGGCTAGCATCAAACGTTTTTGCTAAACGAAAGTATTTTATACGAAGTTTAGTGCTAACGTTAGTTTAACAAGGTAGAGCTTCATTTCTAGGAAAAGAATTAGATGCTTCACAGTTCACCGTCAAAGTGTCCTATCGTATGTGAATCGTGATTTGTGTATAACGCTGAAAACTTCTTTCTCATTGACCGGAGATCACATATAGTCGGTCTTGTCACACGACTCATTCGAAAGGAAAAACAGCGGCGTAGAAAATAATAAAGAGAGTGATATTACGCGTGCACCAATCCAGCGCCAAATCTCCTATCCGATATGCGAGAAGAAGCTCGTCGCCTGTGAAAAATAAACGATTCTAAGTTATTGTTAAGCACAGAGGAACGTAACGGTTATGTTCAGTGATCAGTAACCAATCGGCGTAATATTTTTATTATTAACTGTAACTGCGACAACAGGCCACATTTTTTACTACGCTTAAACATAGATGCCATGGGTTTCGAAGGTAAAGATGTTTCTTTATATTATTACTTCGTTGAAATACAAATTTTGTTCAAGACGTTTTATTTGTTGCCCGAGTAAAAGGAACGAAAGCATGATGTTTGCATACATGTGCATTATTATGATAGATAATAGATTTATATTAACCAAAAGATCACAAGAATGATGCAAAAAATAGCATAAGATACATAGCATCTTTCTATTATATATTATTTTTTCTAACTATATGTTTTCATCTAGAGATCTATCTTCTTATTAAAGATTTTGTAAAAAGAATTTGGTATGATACATCAACCATGTTCTTTTTCTATTCAAGATGAAAGAAGTGACTCGGAAGAGGAGCATGATAAATCCAGAAGCAGTACTCCAGATTCACAAAAATCGGGTAGCAATGTAGCAAGAAACAGATCCAAATCACACTCGGCTAGTCCAAAGTCTTCACCTGCTAGGTATCTAATATTTACATTTATATTTCTTTTATATAAGACCTGTCAACGATAGAGAATAATATTTAGAGTTATACATTGTTTAATTAATTTAGATTTTAACAGAAAAGTTAAACATTGGCCAATGTATTGCTCACGCATTACTCTCTAGCATTGAAGTGTCCTATGTGCAAGGGGCATTATTTGCCTATCTATCTACATTTTTTTAAAGGAGTTAAAGTTCTTTTGTTTTAACTGGAATTAAATATTTTAGATCAAATCAATCATCTCCGGTGCGAAATGGATCACCAGCTTCTGTTCGTTCCAACGCAAGTTCTAGAAGGTCGTATTCTAGATCACCATCGAGATCACCCTCACCGAACGGGTCTGCTTCACCGCGTGATGGCGGAAGGAGCAGATCTAGATCACGCTCGAAATCCCGTTCTCCAGAGCATACAGAGACAAGTGCAAAAGATGGCTCACAGTCACCGGCGCATTCGCATCGCTCCAAATCAGGCTCTAGATCTCGAAGTTCCTCACGCTCCTCGTCCAGAAGTTCTCGCGCAGCATCGAGAAATAATTCACGTTCCCGATCACGATCAAATTCCTCAAAGCCAAGCAACACTCCAACTAAATGTGACTCGCCGAAGGCAAACGTTCAACCGTCTTCTAGATCTCCATCGCCTCGGGCAACTTCCAAATCGCGATCCCGTTCGAGATCTCTCTCGCGATCCCGTTCTGGCTCTCCAAAAACATCGATTCATTCACGCTCCCGATCGGGAACTCCGAAGTCTTTCCACTCGAGATCCAGATCAAGATCGGGATCAGCTAATCCAAAAGAAGTCAAAGCTGCTTCAAGATCGAGATCAAGATCCCTGTCTGTATCCAAAAAAGGTTCTCGTTCGCCATCAGCATCGCCGAATCAATCTCCAGCGCCGGTCAGACAATCAAGATCCAGATCAAAATCACGCTCTGTAAATAGCTCTAGAAAAGGCTCTCCGGATTTCGAGAAAAGCCCCCATTTTAGATCTCGTTCCAATTCGGCGGATAGAAAATCTAAGTCAAGATCTAGGTCAAGGTCTGGATCTAGGAAACACTCGAGATCGCCTTCGCAAGAACGAGCCTTATCACGTTCAAAATCAAAATCAAAATCTAGATCCTTATCGGGTTCGAGAAAAGGCTCGCGTTCGAGATCGCGATCAAGATCGCAAAAATCTGGATCTAGAGGAAAATTGAGGTCCCCATCGGGTTCACGTAAAGGCTCCGTATCTCCTGCGCGTTCAAGAAAGAATTCTCGTTCAAGATCGAGATCTAGCTCGCGATCCAGTAGATCTAAATCGAGATCCCGTTCCATTTCAAGAGCTTCGCGATCAAGATCTCGTTCTGGCTCCAGAAAATCAATATCGAGATCGAGATCGCGATCTCGTTCAAGATCGAAATCTGGCTCGAGATCACGTTCAGGCTCACGTTCAAGATCGAGATCGAGGTCGAAGTCAAGATCAAGGTCAAAATCAAGATCGAAATCACGCTCACGATCAAGATCGCGTTCTAGATCAAGATCCGGATCAAGCGTTAGATCTAGGCATTCATCGCGTTCTAAGTCCCGGTCTAGATCTAGATCGGTATCCGGATCTAGAAAGTCCAGAAGTCCCAGCAGAGATTCGGATGGAGTAGTTAGAAAACGAAATAGAGTATTGTCGGACTCTGAAGAGGAAACTGAAGGTAAAGCAAAGAAACGAATAACAAATGACGTATTGACGGATTCCGAGCATGAAGATGAAGGGAAAAAAGACGCTGAGGCGCATCAAGAGAAGGAGGGTAAAGATGAAGAAAAATTATTAGATGCAACTGTCAATGAGCAGCAGGATAATGAAGATTCTGACGATGGAATAATTGCTGGTGGTGGAATGTAAGTATATATTTAGCTGCAATATAGGTCGAAAAAATAATATTATAAAAGCCATAGAAAATTCAAATATAAAAGTGCGATAAAATTTAGTAAAATAATCGAATATTTTAATATTTTCAGAGATGAAATGTCTGATTTCGATCGCATGTTAGCACGGAAAAAAGAAGAACAATCCCGTAGACGTAAACGAAAGGACATCGGTATCATCAATGATAACGATGATATTATAGCACAGTTGTTATCGGACATGAAAGCCGCAGCTGAGGAAGATAGAAAGTTGAATCAACAAAATAAACCTGCCACAAATAAGATTGCCATGTTATCGAAAGTATTGTCGCAACTGAAGAAGCATGATTTACAGTTGGCTTTCTTAGAGCACAATGTGCTGTCGGTCCTTACCGACTGGTTGGCACCGATGCCTGATCGTTCGTTGCCGTCTCTCAAAATCAGAGACAATCTTCTGAAATTGTTATGGGAGGTAAGATTATATGAAATAAATCCGCTCGATAAAAAATATATAATTTATATTACTCATTTATTTACATATATACGCTTTCAGTTTCCCAGAATTGACCAATCTTCGCTGAAGCAATCCGGTATCGGGAAGGCTGTGATGTATCTTTATAAGCATCCGAAAGAGACGAAAGAGAACAAGGAACGCGCTGGAAAATTGATCAATGAATGGGCCCGACCTATTTTTAATTTATCGGCGGACTTTAAGGCGCTCTCGAAAGAGGAGAGAATGCAGAGGGACTTGGAGCAGACGCCTCAGAAGAGACGAAAGATCGAGGATGGCGGATCCTGTCAAAAATCGCAGGATATTAATAAGGCTATGAAAGGAGATTCCAAGTACAGTCGTTGATAGTAATCATTAATAATTTAAATCGATTGTTATACCTTTATTGCATTGAACTCTTTTTATCTTGCAGACCGTTGAGACCAGGAGATCCTGGATGGGTGGGAAGAGCTAGAGTTCCAAGGCCTTCTAACAAGGATTATGTCATACGGCCTGACTGGAAATCGGACATCGATATTAGTAGGGTAGGTATTTGCGCTTGTGTGCATTTCAAATTTTAATGTTTGTTACGTGTATGGATTATATCCGTCAGTGACTATATGTATTTATTGTTCCCGAAATGGGATATTGCATCACCAGACTCTTCCACTTTAGTCTTCGATTAACTTTTTGTACCTAGATACAACATAAAATGGTACAAGAAAAAGTTTGAATCTGAAACTTTCTGATAAAAAGTTGACTACTCATATAAGAGTCAACACACGTTATTCAAACTTTTATAACGATATAATTAGTATAATTACTACATAAATATTATAAATTACTATATAAATAATATAAATATTAGATGGTATTTTACTTATACTGTATAAAATTGTTTATTTTTAAGCTTTTAAATTCACTTTTTTGAAATATTAATTTTATTTTGTTACATTTCAATTCTTAATCAACTCGTATGATTTTTTATTTCATCCAACTGTTGATATTTAATGCTGCCCTTAATATTTTCATAATTGAAATTTTTCAGCTATATATAACACTGTTTTTTACACAGTTTTTTATACGCGGTAATGTTTTCTTTCCAGAGCACCAAGAAGCAAATGAGCCGATTCGAGAGACACATGAAGAACTACATGGACAGCAAACGTATGAAATCGACGAGAAGAGCAGTAGATATATCCATAGAGGGTCGCAAGATGTCTTTGTAATACCCACATGTTTCTTATGCTTTATACACGGGAATAGTGTAATTGGAATAAAAACTGTGGCAATGCTTCCTGATGATTGCGCGGAAGAAGCTGTACGACCTGACTGATTTAATTCTCGTGTAAATTTCGGCAAATTTTAAAAATAGGTTGCACGATCAAAACGTTCTTTGTTCTCTTTCCGACAGTTGTGTTACTCATTTATTTGTAGATGCAAAAGAACATGTAGTTTTACAAGTGTTGACAGCAAAAGAGCTAAGCAATTCTACTAAAGAATATAAGAAATCATCATAGTCTAAAACACTTTTTAATCGGATATTCCAATTAATTTTGACAAAGAGATTCAAGAATATTAGGTTTAGATCAAGCATTGATAGTGTATTATCAATTTAATTAATGTACTATTTATAGCCTGTATAATAGGATCAAATAAAAAACAATCGTTTTAAAATCTGTGTACATTTTGTTCTGTTAAGCTGACTAGCATTAACATTTATATATATCATATACATATAGTGATACATATTTATATACATCAAATATATACAATTGGAAGAGACCGCTAAAATATTGTTATATACCTACAATGTTAACAAACGTTTCATGAATGTTGAAGCCAAAAAAATGTATATTCTGTATAAGATTAATAATGAAAGAATATGCTTCCTTTCTTTAGAAAGTTTATGTTAGAAGAATACCAACATATTGGAATACTACACATATATACATATATGTAAAATTGTGTATATAAATAAATATATATATATATATTTATATTTTTTATATTTTGTATACATATATAGATATGTACAAAATAATTGTTTTTTTATGCTGTCTTTTACCAATTGATCTTTCAAAAAAGATAAATGATTACATTCATAGGCCTGTTCTTTTTAGCTGAACTGGCTGCACTAGTTCAGAGTCTCTCTTCCTTCTTCCAATGTAGAAAGAGAAAGAAAAACTGTCAACAAGTGCAGCCAGTTCAGCTAAAAGAACAGATCTCATGGCAGCACCTAGACTTCCGTTGTGCAATATGGCAGCACTCCCTTTCCGGTTTATCGTTAAACGTGACACAGGATACAATGAAGGCGAAGGGTGAAGTGAGTAATTTTTACGAATTTTACGTGAGGAATAAGCTAGATCGACACCGAGAGCTATTTCTCCTTGTTCCGAGCGCCCGTGTTATGTTCATTTGGGATTCACGCGGAAACGCTAAACGGAGCTTTCCAGCGTGAAACACGCGATCTAACCTAAAACTCATCCAAGCCAACGCATGCTCGCATAACCCAGTTCAATCGATCTGTGATAAATTCAAACGAAACGATGATCCCTCCTCTCTCTTTTTCAGCTCAAGGAATTCGAGGTGATAGGGCGTAAGCTCCCCACCGAGAAGGAGAAGACCACGCCGCTGTACAAAATGAGGATATTCGCGCCGGACGCTATAGTAGCCAAGTCCAGATTTTGGTACTTCTTGCGCCAGTTGAAGAAGTTCAAGAAGTCCACCGGCGAGATCGTGTCTCTCAAGCAGGTACTCATCTCACGGCACGGTCGTCGCAAACTAACTTTAGGCACATTCCGTTTCATGCATGATGTATCATCTTATCCTTGTTTTTAACATTCGGTGAAAAACAAGGATAAGATGATATCCTGATGATAGAAGATGATATCCATCATGCGCATCATGCATGAAACGAAACGCACACTTTGTCTTATTAGATGTGTTTTTTTTATGACCTGTGATATGTTTACGCTTCTTGCACAAAATGAAGTAGGTATATAAATTCGGAGAGAGAAAGAAAGCAAATGAAAAGTATGAAATTTAACTACAAAGAATAAACTGTACTGTTAACTGTACCGTTAAATTTAGAGAGAAAGAAAGCATGAAAATTATAAAGTTTAACTACAAAAAGTAAACTGTACCATTAAGAAGGAACTTAATTTCTCGTCGTCTTTATTCATTATGTTTGATAACTAAGGCAAAACTAATTCTTTTTCTCAGATTCCTGAGAAGACACCGATGAAGATCAAGAACTTTGGGATTTGGCTGAGGTACGATTCCCGGTCCGGTACACACAACATGTACAGGGAATACAGGGACCTCTCCGTCAGCGGGGCGGTGACGCAGTGCTACAGGGACATGGGCGCTCGTCATCGCGCGCGCGCCCACTCCATACAGATAATCAAGGTGGAGGTCGTGAAGGCCGCGAATTGCCGCAGGCCGCAGGTGAAGCAGTTCCACGACTCCAAGATCAAGTTCCCGCTGCCGAAGCGAATCCAGCACAGGAATCGCATGCCGCTGTTCAGCGTCCGGAAGCCGCGCACCTATTTCCTCTAAACGGCACGGTGCTTTTGTATTACGACGCTCCTCTACTCTACAGAAAATAAAGGGACTTTCGATAACATAAAAAAAAATTTCCCATAATTGTCACAATTATTCATCGACGTCACGATTTCCTCCACTCCTCGCATCCGTTTTGAGAATGACATAAGAGAAGGTCGGGAGTTTTTGGTTATTCGAGGTTAGAGTTTAATAAATACTGAGAACGTGGCGTCATTTTTATCAAACGCGTGGTAGATGATTTTTTTTTCGCTCGCGTATTTATGTCTGGTAAATTATAAAAGAGCGGACTAGTTTCGACGAGCATTTCTGTATCGTGACGAGAGACGAACGTGGATCACGGAAGTTACGTGTCAAAAAAGAGCGAAACGGGATTCGTGCGTTGAACGAAGTCGAGCTTTACGCGTCTTCCGTTATGACTCAAAACAGGCGTATTATCGATTCGCGTCATGTTTATACCTCTCGCGTACGTAGATCTTGGGGAAACTTTGGAAAGAAAACCGCTCGGAAAATCGTAAGTAATTAGCGATCGTTCGCATCTCCGACACATTTCGACACTCTCGTTCGATTCAAGTGACATCTCAAAAAGTGTCGCTTTCTTTTTCTCGAGCACGGTGTCAGCTGTTCCACGTCGCGTACTCCGATAAACTTGTATTTTTACGTCAGCGTAACGAAAGTTCGCGGAAATCCGGACGCGATGACGTACGGCGAAACTTTTCCTCGAGAACACCTCGTCGACCGGCCTTGACGTCAAAATAACAAATGTCAAAGCGACAACATAACACATGTGATAACAGTAACTGCGTTCCGTTTCACATATGATGTATAATGGTATTTTTGTTGTTCACCAAATGTAAACAAAGGATAAAATCGTAAAATAATAAAAGGATAAATCATGCGTGAAACAAAACGCATTCAAGCCGGTGCGTCACGATATAACCTATCAAGTGTGTTGACACGATGCTTGACATTTGGTTGACAGATGATGGGGCAATTCAACGCTACTCCTTCGAGTCCTCGCGTGATGTTCGACGAGGAGAGTGACAACGGTTTGGTACTCTGCGACAAATATCTGCCGAAAGAGATGCTAATGGAGATCCTCTGCCATGCCGACTGCAAGACCCTGTTGAACTGCCAATTGGTGTGCAAACACTGGAATAGGCTGATGAATAAGGTCTGGCACATGAAAACTGAGCAAACGTTGGGCAAACCGTTCCCGTGGAACGATAGAATACCCTGGTCCGTATATTATTTCGCATGCACGAAGAAGCCTTATGAGAGGAACTTGATAAAGAACCATTCCGGTGCGTACGGATTGGCCGACTGGAAATTGCTTTTGAATGGTGGCGATCGTTGGAAGGTAGAGGAACCACCCGTCGGCGTCCAGGAACTGCAAGAAATGGCCGACCCAATGTTCGAAAACAGACAGATCTGTTTCACGACGTCCTTTCAACGTTGTAACAAAGAACAGAAAATAGATTTAACGAGAGAGGGGATTCATCCATACATCCTAGATACTTATCGACCACCTATAGTGGTATCATTATTTTATGTGATAAAAATTATGTATATATAAATTATATACAATTGTGAATTATACATGTCATGTATGTTGTAGGTAAGCGAATGGTACAGTTGTAGATGGGACTGTCCAGCAGTATATGAGTTGGGCGTAGAGTTACTTGGAATTGACAATGAACTGATAGACGAGTTTGTCTTTAAAGATATTCTAATAGGAGAGAAACAGAATGAGTGGCTGAAAGTAAGTATCGATAAAATAATCGATATAATAATTCATATTTTACACATAATGAAAATTTAAATACAGGATACATATTACCTTTAATTTATATTTTCTTGTATGCTTTGTTGTGTGCAGGTTTCACATGTATTTGAAAACTATGGACCTGGTCTTCGAATTATCTCCTTCGAACATGGTGGGAAGGATAGATCATATTGGGCAGGGCATTATGGCAGTAAAATGACTAGAGCATGTGTTTTTGTGAAAATTCCTGGGAATATTTCTACTGTTACGAGCAAATGTAAATGATTAAAACAGGAATCACAGAAGACAGAAGAGTCAGACTGGAGAAATTAATTTATAAAAGGTTCGCTCTATTTTTTAAATAAAAAATTTAACATAAAATATCATTGATCGCAGTGAGATAAAAAATATAATGTATAAATATATGATATATAAAATGTTAAATGTATATAATTTTTTATAAAACAATAATTTACTTAAACTGTGTTACTACTTTTAAAAGTCAAGAAAAGATAATTGTTCTAAGATTAATGTTTCATTATTAAAATTGAAAAAAAATTAGTGATATAAATATTGCATATGCAATAAAAACGAATTTTTATTAATAAAATAAAAACTTGTTTAAATCAAGATGTGCGTGATTTCTTCAATGTAGATGTTCCATTAGCCATATTTGCGAGGGATATTAAGAGAGTTAATATAAGTAATATTCTAGTAACGTACATACATAAAATGATATTTTGTTTATAGATATTAATTGATATAGCGATGACAATTTCACGGTAGGATCCAGATCGAACAAAAGACTTTAATACAATTTGCATGCACGACTTATACCTCCAACCGGGGAGGCGCGTTGCAACAGTTTTAGGCTGGTATATTGCATTTGTCGATATGTTATATACTACAACAAAAGATTTCAACCCTGTTGCTTGACTGTAAGAAAAAGAAATCGGATCTCTCTATTCTATAGCCAATCAATAATAGGCTTGAAATCTTTGTAGGACTCCCTAAAGAAATATAGTAATCTTTTAAGGTTCATCTACAATGAAAGTAATAAGTCGTAAGAAATTGGCCAATCAAATATGAAATAGTCAAATATGAAAAAAATAATCGACTGTATTTGATCGATTTTTTACGGCTTACGACTTATCACTCTTATTGTAAACGGATCTTTAAGAGGCCCTGACATTGAAAGCGCGCCCCAAACGCAAAAAAAAAGGTTTCTAAAAAAATTCCTATTTTAAAAATTTCTATTTTTAGCACTACTCGCATAGAACCACGACGAGGATGTAGCAGAATAAATAAGCGATCGCCGATCAATTTTTATATGTTTTCATACAATTGAAAAATAATTAGCGCCTGTTAAGATCTTGCGCCCTATGGAGCGTATATTGCGTACGATATTGCTACGCCCCCTAACTGACAAGCATGTCGAAGGGGAAAGAAGAAATTCTCCGACAGATGAGTTTGAGCTTCAGGCAGCTTCAGACGAATCGAAAGTTCGTTTTCTTATCGAAGTGAATTGTGTAAAAATTTATTATCCAATACTTGGCCGTACATCCGAGGTGAATTTGTCTCAAATCATACGTGTGCTCAACTTTCCAACGCGCCTATACTATTATTTTTTTTTAAATCGGCGATATTATCGTAACCACGTGCACGCGTTCTTCGATTCGATTCCTGCCATTTCTAAAATCAGAAATCTAAAATGACGAGGCATCTAAAAAAAGACGAAGGCATTGTTGCCGCCAATTTTAACAATTAATACACACGTCATTCATTTTAATGTCTTTATAGTCTAGCCTAATTCATTGGCGTCAATATTAGTTAAACATTTTCTGGTGAAAACAAATTCTGGTGTCTCATAAAATATTTAAAAAATTTATTATACTTATTTTAGGAATATAAATATTTCTGAAAAACCTTAAACTTTTGGACATTTTATAAGTTTTTTTTTCTGAAATTATAGAAAAAGTAATTTTAAAAATATCTTAGAATATATCAAAAAGCATATATATGCAGAATCATAGAAAAAATATATATATCCTCGATACTTCTAGAAACTTTTTTGTAGCGATCATGGCGCAGAGATGTGCGTCTGCTTTCTGTTCTGACGATTAATGTTCAAATCCAGAAACATAGGATTTTTATTCGATCGTCATCTTTCGGAAGGCAATGGCAAATCACTGAGAGGATATCTTATCATGAGAATCTTTCTAATTTAAGCCGTTCGAAATTGTTGGCGTTAAACTGTGGCTCTCTTAATATATGTATATGCGTAAATTGTAAATTATAGCGTCCACCACAAAAAATGAGGAGTCACCACGTTCTGACAAGAGTAAAAGGAGAAGAGGAAACTTCTCAAAAATATATTTCAATTTGTATAATAAATTTACAAAATTTTTTAAAAAGTTATAAAATTATACGGAAATTCTGAAAAATATATATTAGAAGAATTCTCACCGCGATTGTCATACAGGGGTATATTGAGCTAATAATGTACCAATGAATTCTGCTACTGCGGTTGGAAGTTAATCAAGTACTGACCAACTAATCGCAAATAAAGAGCCCATTGCCTTTAAAAAAAACCCAAAGAAAGAAACTTATACTTTGTATATATTTTCCCATCATGCGTAACGAAGTTCGCGGAAATCCGAACGCGATGACAGCGAAATGCTTCCTCAAGAACGCCTGAACGACCTTTTGACTTGATCGAAATAACACTGATAATATTGTAAAAGCAGATGCAGATTTGTTGCACATTTGTGTATCATATTATTGTTGTGTATGAATTAAATGATACGTTACACGGTGCGCCTTTGTATGTATATTGTGTCACAATTTTGAAATGTAATAATGCAACACTCTACATAAATACGCAACAATGATATCTCACACAGCACACTTTATCCGAAGAACATCTTGAGAATGTTCTTAAGACGAAAAACATTTTCTAAACGTTGTCTAAGAACGTTTTTTAGAACATTTTTTAAAAGTCCGTATTATATGAGACGGTAACAAGCATATGCAACAAGCCTGCATGTATCCGCCTTAAACACATGTATTTTGATGTGTCACGATACAATGTGCCAAGTGTGTTGACAGAGATGGAACAATTCAATTCAATTCTTTCGAGTTCTCGCGTGATGTTCAATGAGGAGAGTAACAACGGTTTGGCACTCAACCTGCCGGAAGAAGTACTGATAGAGATTTTCTATTTTGTCGACTGCAAGACCTTGCTGAACTGCCAATTGGTGTGCAAACGCTGGAAGATGCTGACGAATCGAGTTTGGCATAAAAAAATTAAGCACAGATTGAACGAACCGTTTGCGTGGAACGATAAGATCCCCTGGTCCGTATTCTATTTCACATGCAAGCCTTACAACAGGAATTTGATAAAGAACCATTCCGGATTGGAATACATGAATGGTTGGAAAATCACTAGTTGGGAAAAAATTCGTCTCGAATGGAAAAGAGGGTGGAAAAGACAACAGTGTATGATACTAGACAACGAATCAAAGCCCAATATCAAATGTTCATGTCTACTATATACCATTTTTGCTGCCTACTTTATCCGGCCGAATTTCTTAATACGGCAGAACACCAGAAAGCAAAATATAGATCTGATAAAGGAAGGGATCGACGCGTATATCCTAGATACTTATCAACCATCCATAGTGGTATTGTCAAAATTTATGTGAATAAAAATTATTAAATTAAGAATAAAATTAAAAATTGCCCTTTAGAATCGATGCAGTTATTATTGCGTAAAAAAAAATATCTTTATTAAATTAATAAAAGCACAAAGAGATCGCATACGTTTCGACCCTTGGCTAATTGAGTCCTCTTCAGGGCGGAGAAACGTCACACATGGTTGATAACAGTTTTTTAGCTGCAGAACGGGCCAAAATCAGCAGCAAGTCCAGTAATGACAAAATTAAGCATGTACGCAAATCCCTCGCCAGATCTTACGCAGAGAAAACTTCGTCTGATCATAATTGTTAAAACAGTAATTGTCAAAACAGTAAAACGGTCAGAAAAAGCAAAAGTAGAAATATATAAGTATACATATCCATATAGATGTGGATTGTCTCAACGTTACAATTAAATTTTATGGATATGTATATGTTCCTGCTTTTACTTCTTCTGACCGTTTTACTGTTTTGACGTAACAATCGTCAGACAAAGTTTTTTCTGCGTAAGATCTGGCAAATTGCGAATATATGCTTACTTTTATCATTACTGGATTTGCTGCTGGTTTTGAACCGTTCTAAAAATATGTTATCAGCCATGTGACGTTTTGCCGCACAAGAAGACCTAAACCAAGGATTAAAACATATGCGATCTCTTTATGTGCTTTTATTAATTTAATAAAGATATTCTTTCTTACGTAATAATAACTGCGTCGGCTCTAAAGGGCAATTTTTAATTTTATTCTTGATTTATTATTTCGGAACTTTTTAAATTTTTCAATTAAAAATTATATCACACACACACGCACACACACACACACACACACACACACACACACACACACACACACACACACAGAGCGTTTGAGACTTACCACATATATTATTTTTTCTAATAGTAGATTGAAGTTATTTAGAGAAAAAAATTCTAATAATATCAAAACGTTAAGTTTACAATTTTAGTTTTAGCATGCACAGCCAATTAGTTCAATAAATAACGAAGAAAAGTTACGAAGATATAAATTCAAAGATGCATTCAAAAAGTATTTCAACAATATCTATTTATATAATAAGAATATCTTCACTATACAATGGAACGCGCAAATTATGAATACCTCGCTTATTTTTTAACATTTCCCATTGAAAACTATTGTAGTTTTAACATTTTAGTAATAGATTTTCGTCTTTAAATGACTTCAAGAATCTTATATTAGCAGGTGATGTGGTAGATCTGGAACGTCTTTTGTGTGTGTGTGTGTGTGTGTGTGTGTGGGTGTGTGTGTACGCGCGCGCGCGTGCAGACGTGTGTAGATACGTAGGAATTATATATAATTGCGACTTACGCGTGCCACATTACAGGTAAAAGAAAAGTTCAGCATTCTAATGAACAATGCAGCAACATATACATTAAGAGTTAGATTAATTAATGTTAACAAGGAACTGATAGACGAGTTTCAATTTACACATCCAATAAGATCTGAGACACAGAATAAATGGCTGCAAGTAAGTATCGATAAAATAATTGACGATATAATAATTCAAGTTTACGTGATGAAAATTTAAACAAAGGATACTATCTTGAATTTATATTTCTTTGCTTCATTGCGCAGATTTCATATGTATTTAAAAACTATGGACCTGGTCTCAGATTTATCACGTTTGAGCATGGCGGAAAATTAATTAGTAACCCTAACAGAGACCCAGACTATGAAGAGGTTCAAATGAATTGGGCACATGTTTCTGTCCAAATACCTGATATTGCATATGCAAATATAAATAAGTTAAAAAAACAAGAATCACAGAAGAGAAAGAAGTTTATGTGGGATTTCCTCTCTCCTTTTTTAAGACATAAAATGTCATATAATTTGAGAAAAATTAAGCCAGTTTAAATGAAATAAACAATATATATGTATAAATATAAAGATTAAATATAATAAAATTTTTATAAATGATACACTATTATTTAATAAAAACCTAATCTAAAATTAATTTTCTATTGTAAAAATTGCAAATTAAAAATTGTTGAGACATATAGTATTGTATACATAATAAAAATCGATTAATTTTTATTTTTAATAAAATTTTTATTTTTAATAAAAATTAATCGATTTTTATATATATATATATATATATATATATATATATATACACGGTGTAAGTATTACGAGTGTAACTGAAAAGCTATCTCGATTAGATTCTGAGGTGCAGAGTCTTGATGACACACATACAGTTCCTTCGGATGAGGACTCGTGTAGAGACGACCAATTACCCAAAAGGCTGTATTTTCCCATTCAAATAATACACCGTGTTCTTTAACAGCGATTAAACTTCTATTGATTACCGTTTTGTCTATATCTTGATTTAACATTTTAAATCTTACTGTATTATGCAGCAATCTATGGATAACATGTACACACTTGTTGAAATTAACAAGAATCTTGTTATCCTTCGGTGTGTTTTGAATGGGAATTGACGTTAATAAAATTCCTTCTACCATGTCTAAGTGAACGTAATGATACAAATAATTTTTATCACCTGCAGTTAGCTTTTGTGGTATCAGGTATTCCGCTTGATTTAACAAATTCTCTCGTATATTGGATATATCCATTGTAAGAACATTACTATCACTCTGTAAGAAAGTATAGAAAAATATATTAATATTTGTAACGTGCGCTATGGTTTTTTCACTGTAAATACTCATGTCCAGTTTATTATATGACAGTTACCTTATATATGTCGATATCTGAATCACTATCATCAGAATATCTCAATGTCGAATTGATCTTCTCCCGGATTGCTCGTCTTCCAAGTATAGGCATTGCCTCGTCGCTCATTTCACTAACACCACCTGTTCCTTGGCTGAGTGAATCTTCGGACGTTTGTAGAGAATATACTAAACATACGTGAAACAAATATATTTGTAAGATAACAATCTTATAAGACATAATTAAAATAACTATTATATATATATATATATATATATATATATATATATTACGTATATTGTAAAAATGACAAAGCTAATTAAGATGTAAGAAGTATTTGAATTAATTTGAATTCCAACTTACCAGAACCCGAGATAACGGGATTTTCTTCGGAACGTTTCTTCAAGATAGAAGGTAATTCTTGCGGCTTTTTACTGATAGAACTGACATTCTGCTTAGACGATACAGTTTGCGCGTCGGACGATTTTATCAATCCGAACAGATTTTCCGTGATGCTGGACGACGCCTTCGTCGTTGTATGTTCCTCAAATGGTATTACCTCAGGTCTGGTATTGGATGTAATCCATTTCGAGGCCAAGACTGTAACTCCTATCTTTTGTATATGTTTCAGCGTTTCTTGAGCCTCTTCGACGTAAAACACATCCGGGCCTATCGCATCGTTGTACCTGATAATTGAATGATAAAATTTTTAAATAGAAAGCAATACTTGAACTGTACGCGTAAAATAATATACACTCACTTGGCAGTGCATCCGCCGGATTCCAACAGCACCGCTAATAAATCGTGTCCATACCCGATAACCAATAAAAACCATTTTCCATTGGGTATCAATAACTGGTCGCCGTCATTGCCGTCAACATTCCCGCGATTGCAAGACGAAGGATAAATTTGTTTCCACAGAACTAAGCATTTTACTTGTTCCTGGCTCACAAGATTTAACAGACCGTTGTGTCGCAGAAACGAATGTACGTCGATCAGATCGTCGTGAGGCAAATGAGATCCCAAAAGGTGACATTTGTGGTAAATGCAACTTCCTAATATAGTGTACAGTCTTTGACAATCCATAGGATCTTCGTTCTGTTAAACACGCGTCTATTAGATACAATAGATGCATATATTTAATAAAGTTTAATATAAACGTATTTCCTTAATTATTTAAAATACAGTTAAAATAATTGTACCGACATACCCAATCTCTGTAATCCATAGCTTCCATCTCGCTTAATGCAGCGTCTATTTGAATTTGCGCGTCTCTCGGTAATTGTATAGAACTTGCGACCGAAAAGGCGCTTCTGAACTTATAATTCTCCAAACTTTCAGCACTTTCATTTTGTGGATTCGCTGAATTCGTTTTAACGTCAGCATCTTTGCAGGAATCTTTGATATTCATTAATCTACGCATAATTAGCATGAAAAAATGATCTAAGGAAGACTGGTTCTCCACAGAAGTAAAGCACTTCGTCAGCGATTGGTAGGTAAATTCTAATGTTCTGACTATGTCCTCTGTAATCTTGACAATCTCCTGAGGGGAACAGCTACAAAGGAACGATTGATAAAATTCTTATTAAAATGGATGCTGTGTTTTTTCAAAAATATTTTAAGAAATATTATAATTTTAATCGTACTTTTTTTTTAGTAAAACTCACCATTTGCCAGGTAAAGCTATCAAAAGTAATTCATCGTCGCGGGATGTGTATGCAATATGCATTTCTTCTTCGCCTATATGGACAGTTGTACTGAAAAATGAACGTGATGCGACATATACATAAATTTTGTTCTCAATACAAATTACAAAATACAATATTAACTGTACGTTTGTAGCATACCTGAGTGGTTCCGAGCCCACTATACTGGGTAATAAATGATTAAGAGTTATAAAAGCTCCCCTTGCCGTACAAAGAGAAGAATGCGCACTCTTGGTTTCGAATCGCGGATACGTGTATAATACGCCTTGCAATTCTTGTCCCATTTCCGAAAGATCTGCAGTCTTTAAATATATTACGCCCAACGGATAATTCAACAGAGATTCCATAAAGGAACTGCTGGTTTCTTTACTCAGCAGATATTGGACCAATATTGATTGCTAAACAAAAAAATACGATCTATAAGATTTTACTTCATATATATATATAGGTATATATATGTATATCACTCTTGTTGTATTTATATAAAAATTAATTACTTTTGGTTCATTTGCTTTTGGTAACTTTGCAGTAACATCAACACCAGCCACTCTTTGCAGTTCTAATGTTACCTGTAAATAAAGAATTTTTAATCTTTTCATTAAAATTAAAAAATATATCTGAATATAATAATTACGCAGTAGACTCTAATAATTACATAGTAGACTCTTAACGAAATTATTAATTACTTTATTACACTTATCGATTATTATTAAATCTTACATTTGATGGCGTGGTGATTTCAGACAGTATCCGGTCCAAATTCTGGAAAGTAACATTATTCGAATTGATGCTCCGCAACCAGTCCCCGATTTTTATATTTCTGTTCTTCATAGCTTCACCGTCGGGTATAAATCCCGCCACCATAACTCTGACCTCGTCCGAGAACGCACCCGGGGTGATACCGAAGTATGCTTCACATAAAGTTGCCCTTCTTCCAAGCTTATGTCTTCTCTCAGGATCAACCCACAGCGTGACTTCTCGAATTTCTCCTGCCTGATAACAAATAGTTACGTACATTACGGATACAGAAAGCTGATTTTGACATTTCATTATTTTGCTACATTAGATTATTTGATCACAGCTAAATCTCTCGATTTAAAATCGTGTTTTAAAATTTATTTTAGTTAAATATATTTTATATATATAATAACTATATTTTTAACAAAATATCAGTTTTATTACTGCAACTGGACGGCTTAATACCTGGAAATCTTGAAATTTGACCTCCTTGCTTCCATCTCCCTTCTCTTGAGCAGCTGTATTACTTGCCGCGACGCTACTGCTGATCCTTTTATTTCTCGTACTCCACCGCTTGCTCTCCTTGCGTCTGATAAGACGGAACAATTTGCCGGCTCTCGTGCTGCGGCGACGCGTTAACTCAGGCTGAGGGCTCTCGCTCTTATCCTCCGAAGCTGTGGGATTCTCGAGCAGACTTTCCTCTGCCGATTCTATGTAAAATACTTCTCCGTTGGGTCCGATCTCCGACTCCCATTCAACCACAGAACTGCGTATACACTTATATATATTAAATTTTGAAGATATTTAAAATTTTTCAAATGTGCCCGTTCGTTGAATTTACCTGCCGGTGTCTGATTGCGAGTAATATGACCCTGTGCTGGAATCGCTGTCACTCGCCCACCAATCATGATCATCTTCGTTGCAAATATCCGCAGAGTACGGCCGATCGGATGATTTACATTTGGATTTCAATAAAGCACTCTTGCTCTCTGGCTCGCTCATCTTTCGTTGAAAATTATCAAGTATCTTTATCTTACAGCATCTAGCTCTGCAATAATCCTGTAAATATAGACCTGAACTTATGCAATATTATAACATTAAATTTAAAATAAGTATCAATTTTCTGCACTGATATCTTGAATTATAGCACATGTCTCTCAACTATTATTTCACTTGTATTTATTTATTGTATATATATATATATATATATATATTGACTATGAACAAGGTTGTAGGTAGGCTCAAAGCCTGATGCTACCTGAATGCACCTGTGTAGGGTACCTGAGACAGGGCTTGTCTGCTAGCTTGTGGGAAGAGAAAGAGAGTGGGGATACGACGAGTACCTTCTTATTTTAATATGCGTGAAAGGTACAGTAAGGTTCTTATACGTATGTAAAGCTGAAAGTGAAGAACACGATTTTTATAAATATATATTTTATAAATTTATGAAAAATTTCAAATGTAGTAAAATATCAAATAATGTGATAAAAAGAAACTTTTTTTGGAAAGTTAAAAATTGAAAATTAGCAACAAGATAATCATGAAAAGTTTATGGCAAAATAACACGAGAAAACTTGTAAAACTTACTATTAAAAAAATTTATTTATTCCTTACATTTATAATTATTAAAAACGATCCCTATGCTTAGTACCTGAATTTTTCGTGCAATAAAAGTTAGAGACGTAACACACTATAACGCAAGCTTGTTTGTACTTAAGATTATTTAACAATAATATATTCTTGATAAATATACAGTATAACGCCCCCATCTCCAATTTTCCTGTAAATTTGTTTTCGAGCATAGAATATATTCTGAGAAGGAAAATAACTTTGAAATGATAAGGAAAAAAAACCGGACTTGACCAACTTCTCCTTCTCAAAATATATTCCACGCTTGAAAATACACAAATTTACAATTACAAGAAAATCAGAGGTGGGAACCTCTGTACTGCACATTTACCATATTCTTATATCTACACACATTTTCTCCACAAGCATAAATCCCAAATGCAACCCCGTATCTGTTGATATTATTTATTTTTGAATTTTTTTTTCTTGCTTTTATATAAAATATAGATCAATCAATTGATTCGATACGTCAATGTTTCTATGTTCGACGATATTCGACCATGTGTCATATATATATATATATATTATTTCTATTTATATACCGATCGCGTACAATCATTTAGGAAAATAAATACAAAAATGCTTACTAAACAACATGTATAACATGTCGATTTTATCGAATCGATTGTTTGAGCCTAGACGCGACCGATTTTACGTCGTTGGATTCTTTCTTCTTTTGTGGGTCCATTTGGAAGCATTTCCACAGCCGTAACGTTTCATCGGCACCAGAGCTAAGCACCGTAGTACCATCCGGGGACATGGCTAAATGCAAGACGCGACTGGTGTGCCCGGTAAGTTCCGCGACCTTCGTCATCATCGGGTACTTCCAGATTGTCACTTGATTTTGCGCGTATCCGTGTCCAGAAACGATCTCTTTGTAATTCGTAGACCACAGCAAAGCGCAGACCTGAGACTTCGTATCTATCGTATTCAAACAGGCACCTGCGGTAAACAAAAAATCGAATGTTTTACATTTATCTTATTTTTATCACCAGCTGTTACATAATTTTCTTACATTACTACGTCAAATTTGTATGCTCTTTAGATTTATTATAATTTACAAATCGATTCCTCCCGCAACTTGCCTGTGTTGCAATTCCAAAACCTAATGGTACGATCGGCGGTACCGCCGCCGCTCGCGAGCACGTTGTTTTGCCAGGGGCACCAATCGAGCGCTTTCACGGCGGCTTGATGCTGATTGAACGAATAAACCGGCTGCGTATGAGAGTGCCTCTGTCCGGCGATCGACGACCAGATTTGCAGCATGTTGTCGTTGCCACCACTCGCCAGATACTGCCCGTCGGGCGACCATTTCAAGCCGCACACTTCTTGAGCGTGTGCGTTTATAGTCGAGATCAAGTGATCACGGTCCCTCACATCGTGATGCACTATTTTACCGGATCTGTAAAACAATGACATAGTTGCAGTCCCAAGCTTAACTTTTAATTTCAATTTTAATCTCGATTGTGGTTTATTCAATTTTTAATAATTTGCTATTTTTGTTCAATAAATATATTTAATTTTAAATTACTATTATATTCATCAATCTAATTGGTAACTCTATAAAGATATTTTCTATAAAGATATTTTCTATCAATTAATTCCTTTTAGAACTAATGGACAACAAAATTAGCACACAGAATTAGCTTATCCCGCAAATTTGGGCATACTACCTGCAGCCGCTCGACAGTATATGGGAATTCCACGCGAGAGAACCAACTCTAGCTGCGTGTCCGTTCATAACGCGCACTCTCTTCATCTGACTGCAATCCCACAATTCTGTATTTCCCACCGTGGTACCCACTGCTAAATACGGGCCTTCCTGAATCCATGCAACTGAACACACATAATCGTTTGCCTCCAATTCGAATAACTGCTCTATGGTACCAGTTCCAGCGTTCCACAAATAAACGTTAGCGCCTAACGCCACGGCCAAGATGTTATCGTTCGACCAGTCCACCAAGTTCAGATCTGTAAAAAAAAAAAAAATCACATTTTTATTCGCGTGTCCCTCCGTGGCTTTCGCAGGTGAGAAATCGCGAAGAGCAGGCCGCTTACAATAATCGTCGATGATTTCAGGCGCGTCCAGTATTCTATCAGGGGCCTGTGGTATGTGTCTCGTAGAAGCTCTAACGCTGGCCGGCGTCTTCGTTTGGCTGTACAGGACCTTGAGAGGATTCTGATACCCCTCCGGCGGCGCCGGTGCCTTGATCTGATAAGATAAAACTCGCGCGTTGTTTATATCACCGCCGTAAAGATTCTCCCCGATGAGACGCTGCATCTCGCGCTTAACAGGGCTCGTTTTGTCAGCTCTGTCTTGCTCGGCGTTCTGTTGCTGAAGAATCTGAAGTAGACAAAAGCAGACAAAGAATAGTCAGAAGTGCCTTGAAATTATATATCTGAGATATCTTGGGAATTTAGTTATGAACACTCGCTCACCTTGAAGTGGCTCAATTCGAAATTGGTCGTGGCTCTCGATGGAATGAATCTGTCACCACCGCTGGGTGTCTTGGCTGGGGTAGTGGCTCGACCTATTACGAGAGGCCGATTGAAAGTTTGTTCCTTTCAATAACACAACGTACGAATTTTAGGCTACACTTACTTGGAGACTTCTTGGTGCTTTTAGCTGGAGTTTTCTTGGTCTTGCAGTCGTTCCTCTTCGTCGGGGTCTTTCCAGATGTAGTGCTGCTGCTAAAGGAGGTAGCTTTCTTCGACGTGTTAATACTGAGATTAGCGCTGAAACACGAGGTGCAAGTGTGAGGTACGAGATACTCGTGTGTGTTGAATAAAGTCGATGTGTTGTTTACATGCGGATCTGATAAATTCGCTCGACGAAATCCATGTAAACTGATTTTCAATGTATAAATGACGACAAGTTGTCGAATTTAACAATAAATTAATAAACGCACGGTCAGATTCTCGAGGGAATTCAAGGATAGCTTACCTCAAATTTGACGTTTCCATGCATTTCTTCTGCCAACGCGGGACCGCGCCTTTGATAGCGTCGTCCATGCGGGTCAGATTGTCGAGTTCCTTCATGAATCTCAGATGCGACATGACGAGCGAACACCGTTGAGCGTACGAGCGGTGACGATGGAGAAGTCCTGAAGGGTAACGTCAGCGGGAATCGACGACAACCACGGCGACGAGCGTCGGGCACGTCGGCCGACGCCGAATCGTCGAGCGATAACACACACGCGCTGGAGAAACAATCAGTTGGAACACCACCTCCGTCGACTCTGCTGCTCAGCTTCCACCGATCCGTCCGGGATACGCGTCGATCGATCTGCCAATTTAGCGTGAATATCCTCCGAAAGGACTGCGAGGCGATAGCGTGGTTTAAATGAATGCGATGCTACTCCAACAGGCCCACCAAAGGGAGATTTAAAAGAACGTTAGATTTCAAACCACCGGTCGTTTCCTGTTTTGTCCGAGCAGGTGTCGCCTGGCGCGCTTCCGGTCGAAAGTTCCTAGATTATAAATTTAGTGACTTTATTCCGATCGGATTTGAGATCCGCCTAGTGGCGAATCCATAATAAACTTGTCCGTGCTGTCGTGCGATACGTTTTTAATTCGCAATTATTTTCGCAATTCTAATGACAATTTGTGTAAATGCAATCCTAATTCCAATTATTTGCAATTCTAATTTCCAATAAAATGTTGCTTTCGAGGAAAATTATGAAAAAGTTATATGGCTTACACATATTATTACGACAAATTTTTAGTTCAAAAACATTTTGGAACGTAGCCCTGCTATAAATTTGTTTTTGACAGCTGCGTTATTTTATAATTTTCTGCATTTTAATTAGACATCGCGGTGAGAGAAAGAGGAAAGATGAATGCCGCGAGCAGAGAGCTGAGGTTCGGAAGTTACGAACAAACCTTAAATCGAAAGCGATCTCGATCGACTGTTTACGCGAACATGGTCGGTGATTGTCACCGTTGTTAGTGAGGTTATACGAGTCGTCCCTCGCGAATTTGCCTATTTACGAGACGACTCGCTCGAGTTGCCGCGCGGAAACGCGCACGGGAGGAACTAAGCGAGCGAGCGCAAGCGAGGTGGCGCGATGACAGATTTGTTCGACATCACGAACCTGATCACGACCGTCGGCGTCGACGGCGTGAAGATCAAGCAGGAGCCCGGGCTGCCGGAGAAGTCGTCCAACGAGATCCTGACGGAGCTCTTCAGCACCTTCGAACACGCGCCGACGGACGACGGCGGCGCGGCCTCGCCGCCGAACAGCGGCCAGCAGCTGGTGCCGAACGGCGGCGTCGACGAGACGGCCGCCAAGCCACCGGACGAACATCAAACGAAGAGGAAGAAAAGCAAGAAGAAACGCAAACATAAGGAGAAGAAGCACAAGAAGAAGTCGCGGCACGACTCCTCGGATGGCAATAGCGACGCAGAGGGTAAACAATAATACACGCGCACGTTACATTACCTGGCACTCGTTTATGACGACAACGTAATCATTAACTTTGCCCGTGTCCTCCAATGCAGGTGTCAAGAAAAAGAAGAGGCACAAGAAGAAGGCCAAGCGGAGGCGCGAGTCCGTTTCCAGCAGGTCGTCCGATGTGGGTCACGGTAAAGCCAAGGTGGCGAGGACGGACGACGACAAGGATGTTGAAAGTGCCCAACGTGACGCTAAATTAAATCTTGACTCATTAGAAAAATCTAAATGTATGAACGACGGGACGAAGCCAGATGATCAGTATACAGAGAAAGATTTGGATGTGACGGACAAACTGTTAGATAATTCTGGTAGTCCTCAATTACCGCCTATATCGAGGAAGATGGACGATGAATCTGACGAGCCAGTGATACCTAAACTTTTTGGTTTGTACTTCTTGCTGTTGATCACATTTACAAATTGCTTTCTAAAATTATTATTTTAGAAAAGTAATTACTAAAATAATATTAAAAGATATTTAATTGACATAAGAATATATATGATATTTAATTGAAGTAAGAATATATGAAAAAAAAGAGAGAAAAAAGGATGATTAATATTAATGACTTCTTTCTAAATAGAACCAAAGCAGCCTTCCCAAGGGAAAATATTGATAAAGGATCTCAAGAACAGTACCGTTTACAGTGAAACGGTGAAAGCGATAGAAAATAAGCAGAAGGCAAAAGCCGCGGGAATGGAAGACGGCGAGCTCTCTGACAGCAGTAGCAACAGTAATAGGACGCCTACTTTGAGTCCTACTCCACCTCGAAATCGATCATCGTCGTTCAGCCCGAGCAGAGATAAAGCAAGAAGCAAAATGTTCAGTTCAACAAAAGGCCATTCCAAAACTGATCTTAGATTAGTCTTGAAAGAGAAGGAAAGAAAAAGGTTTGAAAAAAATTGTAGAAACGGTAAAGATTTGCATAGGTAGCGATCACATAAGGAACTTCAATTGCAGAGGCACGAGAGATAAGGACAGATCACAATCGCGCACTCGATACAGCTCGCGTAGCGGTAGGGGAGAGAAGCATAGGGGCAGGAGCAGGGAGAGACACGAAAGGGACAGGAGCGGTGACAGACGAGACTCGGGTAGAAGCAGAGAGAGGCACAGATACAGAAGCCACAGTGAAAATAAAGACAAGCATACGCGAGGCCGAAGCGTGAGCAGGGAGAGAAAGTTAATATCGCGTCAAATTGTTTGAGAATAATGCAATAACATTTGTAAACTTGTTTACATAATTATATGTTCCTTTTTTTTCATTAGGGAGAGAATAGAGATTAACAAGAAGAAGCTTTTAGAAATCGCAAGGAGAAATGTTATAAGCATGATAAAACAAGGAACTCTGTCGGTAGCCCAGCAAGACAAAGCTATCGCTGCCATACAATCCGGTGGGAAAACAGTAGACGAGCTTACAGGTAATTTTTGTTCACATTAATTTTTATTAGGAGTATATATATGTATATATATATATATATATATATATATATATATATATAATTCAATTTTTTGTCAATTTTATTCCTGTTATTCTGCAATTATATAATTACATATAAAATTACGTTTTTAGATTTTTGCAAATCATTATCGAAATCTGAAGCGTTAGGTGAATTATCTAGTATCTCTTCTGAAGATGAAAGTGAATCCGAGAAGGGATTTCATCATCCTTTTCTCTTAAAGGAAAGACCTAGTTCTATTATAATGAATATTAAGGTTAGTATAAAATCTCCTTTATACTATCAATTACACACACAAATCTCAAAATTTTATGTTTTTGCAAGTATAAACGTGAAAGTTTAGAACATACTTTATTTTCACTCTTTAGGATGCAAAGCAGCTGCCAACAAAAACGTTTCAAGAAAAAACAGCTGAAACGTCAAATCAACTACGGTTGCAGTTTCCTGTCTCCAGTGGACAGCATCATAGAAGAAGCGGTAAATAAATTTTTAACAATTCGTTTTACTCCAATTCACTCGATGCAACGTTTTTCTTCAGAAAACGAATGGGTACCTGTTACGCCAAAGAAACCAGAACCAAAAAAGATATTTGTACCGCCTTCTTCAAATTATGCTACAACTACACCAGCGGCTATAATGCCACCACCACCACCACCACCTGTGCAACCTGCGCAACCTGCGCAAATTGCGCAAACCGTTTTCCCCACAACGACGGAGGTAAAATAAAGAGGAAAACGCGCGCGTGTTATATGTCGTAAAATTATATATTCAATTAATTACACAGTTCAATTAAAAAAAGTTTTATTAACTGTGATAATTGCAGACTATGGATATTGGCTCCATAGTGTCTGAGAGATTAGCAGCTATAAGAAAATTAAGGGAGAATCCAAATGACGTAAGCGCTTTGAATGCAATGCATCGGGCACAAAACGAGGTAAGAAGATGATAGATTGTCACAAAATGGCACAATGTATATACCTACATTATATATAAGTTATTCATTTACGAATTTTTTTATAGATGAGAACTTGGGCTGAAAGTAAGCAGATACCAGGTCAGTTTACTGGTAGTACGGGAGTTAAAGTGCTTACACCTGCAGAATTATCTTCAGGTTATCAGGCCTGGGCACGTAAGGTAAAGTTATTGCGCATTTTATTCCATTCCGGATTCCACGAAATTCATCCTTGATTGACTCCACCAAATCAAAAGCTCACGATGCATTTTCAGGTCAAACGTGAATTATTGTCATAACACTATCAAAAAAGTTTCTTTTATTCTTACGACACAATCATATTGAATAATGATATGATAATGTCAAATGATTAAAATGCAATAATGCATAATTAGAATTGAAATTCTTAAAAAAAAAAGCATTTTATGTATGTGATATGTGAATGCATCTAACATCCATTGTAATACCTTTCCTTTTTCCCCTCTTACTAAACAATGAAAAGTTCGTTACACTTTATAATATTCTATGTTAAATGTCGAGCCACTTGAAATTTTTGACCTGACATTGTTTAGTAAATTACACCATTGACACATTGATGATATTGCCTGTAACAAGTTTTCAGGCACGGTCTCCACTAGAATCAATAGAAAGTTAACGTTGATGTTAGTAGAGACTGTGTTGTAGGCACAGACTATTTCTTATTTAGGAGTGGATTCTGTGCCTGCATGGACACAGGAGCGTTATTATTTCAATGAAAATTAAAATTTCGAAATTTCGCAAATTGTGACTTTAAATCTGAATCTTAGTGAATTTATCCTATTTTAGGGACAAATTTTACACTGAGAGCAAACACGAAAAATAGATTAGAGAGAAGATCGTACATTAATTTAAAATACTTAATTGATTACGAATTGCAAAGTACGTAAACAATGAATTTTCTGTATGTTTGTGACCGAGATAATGAGCTCTTGTGAGATTACTGCTAATTATCGTCAGCTTCCTAGGATTTCACCAGAAGCCAGTATGTTGTCTCTTAATCATTAAAGCTGGGATATTTAGCATTAGTCTGCATCCACCTGAGGGTTTGTTACAGGCATATAGCTACGTCAGAGAAAAAAACAACTTCGGCAGCCTGGTGCAGAGATTATTATTTGTTCGGTATGTATCTGTTTGGTAAGTGTTCTTACGCAAGTTGTACATAACAGATTTACCGCGTAACTATATTTTCACACATTATGCACACACATACACAGAGGGAGATTCTTTCAGATTATAACCGAAAAAATAATAGTCTATTATCTCGATGAGTTTATTTATTTGAATTGTGCCGTTCAATATATATGTTTTTTTTTTAGCAATTGCTAAATTATCGACTCCAAAGGATAGGGACGTAAAAATTCGAAAGACTAGATTTTCATACCATATGCGCGCGCGATGCAACACCAGACAGTTCCATTATCTCTTCTAATTCAACAAATTGTTTAGGATCAATTAGTATCGGCACAGCCTGTATCGGGTGGAATGGGTATGGCGTTACTACAGAAGATGGGTTGGCGACCTGGCGAGGGTCTAGGCAAGAATAAAGAAGGAGCCTTGGAACCGTTGCAACTAGAAGTTAAACTGGACAAGAAAGGATTGATTTCTGATCAGGACATCGTGCAAAAGGCTAGCAAAGCTGTAAAGCCTATGGTGCCAACAGTTAAAACACTGGAAGGTATATCTTAATTTATATTATTTTGCGAATTTATATATATATATATATATATATATTAGTTAAGAAATTTATATAGAATTCATTAGGCTCCGAGATGCAGCCGTGACCGTAGAAGGCGCTCTCGAATTTAGTTGTGTGATTCACATACGCGGTTCAAATTATAATTGTTGTTGTTGTTGTTGTGTGTGTGTGTGTGTGTGTGTATTTTTTTATGGATTTAAACTAAATTTTATTATCTGCAATTATTTTATTCTACACACAGGCAAACATCCAGTGTCGCTTTTAGGGGAATATTGCACAAAGAAGAAGCTTGGAGCACCAGTTTACGAATTGTGCTTCGAATCTGGACCAGATCACAGAAAGAATTTTCTCTTCAAAGTGAGCAATGTCACTATAAATAATTTAATATTTTTATACTTGGAGATATGTATATTTATACATCTAATCTGTTATAGGTGAAGGTAAACAGCATTGAATACAAACCGAGTGTTGCAAGTTCAAACAAAAAACAGGCGAAGGCAGAAGCAGCGCAAATATGTCTACAGAGCTTAGGCTTATTGCCTTCTTAGTTGAACCAACGTAATCGAGGAGCTTGTAGATTTCCGTCGCAGTAACAGTACACATTTCCCTCGGAAATAATAAGTGATGCCATACAAGTAACTTTATGTACCAGTGATATCGTGCGAAAAATTAATAAGTGACTGGCGTTGCCAAGTTCTTGTAATTAATCATCGGAGCTAATTTAAATTGGTGCAATAGAATATACAATAAGTAACTATATATTTCACAAATTTATTTGCAACAGCAGAAAGATGTATAGAGTTGCTCTATTAGAATATTTCACCAGTTTAAATGTTAAAGTATACTTTGACGGACCTTCTTAGGCCCGGTTTCACAATTCGCGGTTAACTCGATTTAATCGAAGTTCAATTCGCTTTAGTTTTTTTAAATCTAAAATTCCCGCGTTTCTGTTCCATCTGTTTTGATTGCCTTACATGGAGGAGCACATTTTGAGCGTTATTCGCAATTTCCGTGCTTCATGTATGACTGGCACCATTAGAAAAAGATAAGTTAAACCGAGATTAAAATTAATTTTACATTTGTGGAACCAGGCCTTAAAAGTCTAGAAAGTTAAGTAATCTTTATGTTTAACTTATTTTTACATTTGTTTTTTTTTTTTATTGTAAATACTATACAACAGAAAAGAGCTTGGATGAAAGAGCTAGCAGCCTCAAATAAAGACGTTAATTTACATAATTCTTGTCATATCCATTCGTCCCATTTCTTTCTTTCTTTTTTCCCTGCTCTAAAAGTTATATCTACGTGCAAAAATCGCGTTAAAACGTTTGCACTATTTATCTTTCCTGAACATGCATCTCTAAAAAATATATATAAAGAGGTTTCTTTGAAAGACTAAAATATATCAAAAATATATATTTAAATAAATTTATTATCCTGCAAAAATGCAGCTTGAATGGTAATTACGGTGTTCTATTATCCTCAAGACACGAGAGTTTTCTCAGCCGCTACATCGGCAGTTTGTGATACTATCTTACCGACCACCTGCGTTCGAGCAGCCTCTCTGGTAAAAGACCGGGATGGCTCCTCTCACGCCTCTCATGACTGTCAAGTGTCAGCTGTCATGCTAGTCAATAGGCATGTTTCTCTCTGGCGGAAGTTAGTTCTTCGTAGCTGAATTTTTTGTACTTTCCCTCTTCCTCCCTCCAACGTTTAATTATACATCTTTGTCATTTTGAGCGTAAATAGTACAGCGTATAGTGCAATTACAAAGAACGGAATTCGTAATTTTTTTGGACGTCAGGCGATGTCATCTCATCAGACATTGTCATCTCGTGTTGACTGGTGTCTCGTCAACGAATTTCAGGAACATGATCTGAGGCGGATGTCATGCGGCTTACGCCTGAGATAGTCGATCGGATTAACGTAATTCGCGTACTCGCGTGTCCGTAATTCAGAGCACGTCGGCACCTCGCACACGTCCCGTGAGACATGCCCGTCGCCGCTCTGTGAGACGCCTATCCTCGCTGCTCTCTCGCCGCACCTTGCCGGGAGCAAGATGCCAGAACGGATCGAGATCGGTACGTGGAATCTCGGCTTTTGCAGTACAATGGTTTTGCTCGCGATGTACGAATCCGCGCTTTATTATTTACTCGCTTATAATTATTTACTCGATGCAACATAACCTAACGGAGTCATTTAAAAAATATGAGGTGCGCTATATAACCTTGCGAGAAGGTTAAAAGTGCTATAATCCAACCAGCCGATGGAGTAAAAGAAAAAAAAAAGAAAAAAATATGAATCTGGTGTGAATGTGCTAAATAACTTTCTTGAGCACCCAAAACTTAAACAAAATTTTCTTTAAATATGAGCAAATCACCCTTATATATCTGATTATTATTCTATATACACATATATGTATATATTATGTATAAAATAAACAATATTGTATATATTATTTTATATATATAGTACGTATATATTTGTTTTATTATATATTATATTGATATATTTGATTATTCGAGTTCCATCAATTCCAGGTGTTATTCCAAATAATTTGAGGCATGAGGAGACTATAGTTCAAATAGCGGAAGCTCTGGATAATCTGAGCGATGCTGTCTCATATATATTCAATTGCATTGACAGGAGACTTTCGGAGAACACACAAAGGTAAAATGAAAAAAAATTAAGAATCTATCAATTTCTCAACATTCAGTCGTACGACAGTATTTATTGTCTTGCTTATTTTTGTGCATCTGCTTGATCCAATATTTCTCAAATAATGAATTTGTCTTTAGATTAACCAACATAAAAGAGAGGGCTAGGAAGCTGGAGGACAGATTGCACTATTTACAGACTAATTTGAACCTGAAAGCGGTAAAAATGTATTCTGCTGCTAAGTATCCGGCTAATCACACTTACAAGGAGTATCAAATGACCATACCGCCACAGCGCGAGCGTGCCGCTGCTATACCAAGCGTTTACAAGTGTTCCGTGCCCATAAAGGATATCCCTGAAGCATATTTATCTTCCAATTGCAAAACGGAGGACGGCCAATACGCCGCGAATGTCAGCCTCCAAGAGAAGCTCCAATTTTATCACGTGCGATCGAAGGCTGGCAAAAAAGATAATCTCGAGGATGACGTGGAGCCGTTCCCGCCGCAATTATCCTCAGTTAGCGCCCTCCTACTGTTCGACAGCATGGACAGCCCGTACGAAAAAACGTCCGTGCGATCGTCGCGTCAATCTACTGACAAGCAGCAAATTGAGGACGCCCCAGATTCGATTGTACAACCGTGGCTCTCGTCAGAAATGGACGCGTCTTCCAGCTATTTGTACACCCCGACCCTCGGAGAGGTCAGATTCTCATATGCATTAACTTATTTATTTAACAATACAATTTATGTCAATTTGAGAAAATTTGTACTTGTGCTTGAATTAACGATTTATTCTTATAAAAGTCCTTACGTATTTCAGGTCCCTCAAATAAATGTACCGCTGACGCTCCCAGATCTACCAGGCATTGTAGACGATGAGAAATTCGTGCTTGATCTCAACTCGCAAAGTCCTATCGCGCCGTCATCCGCGGTTACGACACCTACCGTTCGTCTAGATCTACCAACGCCAATCAGTGACGAGAAAGACTCTCGAGAGCCGAAGGCGGAAGACTGCGCTCCACATTTGCCTGTTCTAACTGGAACCACGTCCGCCGCAACTGCACCGTCACCCGCGCCGCCGCCTCCGCCACCTCCTACGGTCACCGTAGATGCGAACAGTGCCGCGAGCAACGAAAAAGTGAATTTTCAAGTTGCGGCACCTCCGCCACCGCCGCCGCCACCACCGCCACCGCCGCCGATCGCGGAGCTGCCGGCCGTGTCCGCGCCAAGTGACGGTTCGAAGAAGAAGGACAAGACACCGAGCCGTCCGCCTGCGACAGCCGCAACGGACGATCGATCCAATCTGATGGCGGCGATACGAGACGCTGGCGGTATAGGCAGAGCGAAATTGAGGCCCACCGTGCCGGACGAGAAGAAGGGCGATCGATGGTCCTCGGCCTCGGTTGGCGGAGATCTGATGGCGGATCTGCATGCGAAACTGGCGCTGAGACGCAAAGGTATCGCCGGCTCGACGGTAGGCGCCCTGGAGAGGATGTCGAGTTTGATACCGCCACCCCCGAAACCGAACGAAGCGTCCGCGTCGGACAGAAATTCCGCCACCAGCGAATACGACTCCCAACCCGACACGGACGATTGGGAGGAGTGATGATTGCTGTTGCGGTAATTGGTATAAGAGCGGCGTGCCGTTGAACGATTATTGTGACAAATGCGGAATCATGACAAATGGCTTGAAAGTAATCGGCATCCGCGCGTGAACACTCAGGGGTACTTTTAGTGGACAGATCCAATGAAGTAGAGGAGAATAGAATCACAATACGCAGATCTAGTTATTTTTTTATTCAACAGATCTGAAAATTATTTGATTTTAAATTTCACTTTCGTCCGATGGCCACTAATTGTATCTTTTTTTTTTTTACGAGAAAATAATTTGTATAAATCTATATTTAATATATTATTCTGGTAGTATTACAATAATTTGAACAAAATAAGATTACGCGACTATTTACAGATGGATAAATTACAGAATTTCCGTGGAGATAGTAGAAGAATTAATATGAAAGAATAAGTAACAGAATAGAAAATTTTATTTTGTGCGTCAATACATTTTCCCAGAAAACTAATTATTTACTTATATTTATGTATACAGATTTTCATTTTGTTCGTTATATATGTATATTATGTACGATCTTCCTCAGAAAAAATCTTGTACATAAAGTATATTACAGAGGTAATTAGCCCATTAAAGTCCTGATTGTAAATTCCTTAATAAACGATACAGTGTACAATATGCGAATGTAACTAATATGTATATATACTGTTATGTTAATAAAGTTTTATATTCAAACTGTATAATACACAATTACATTTGTGATATTAAAATTTGCACATATAGCAAAGCTACTGAGCAGTCTTTACGTCAATACGTATCTTAAGAATTATTAATATCACGACTCGCGATGTATATGTTTACAATGTATAACATATATATATTTGAAACTCTTTACAAAACAACAAGTTCTGCAAAAGTACAACCTTGGTCATAAATATAAATTCGATTTTTTTTAAAGGCGATAATAAAAGTTAAAAGAGGACTAATAAAATATTAAAGTTTTAATAAAAATAACTATTTTTTAATAAAACTTCTAATTTCTTTTTCGTTAATTACACAGCGTTTATCGTCAATTTGTGAAAATACTTTATACTTACGGCTAAGGCTGTATATGCTATACCCTGATGTCATACTTTCATTTGTTTGCTTCTTACGTAGTACATACATACATACATATGTGACAGAATTTAAAAAAGTCTGGCTTTCGAATGCAGACTCCATTCGCATAGGATGACTATCTTACTTTGCATTTCGAAATACTAAACACGTAACACTTTATGTGTACCATCAGCTTGAGATTCATTCTCAAGATAGCTGCGAGGCAAGAATAAATGTAATCTATTTCTGTCGCGGTAAAATTAATCGCTTTGCATCTATCGAGTATGAATCGTGGTGTAAGGGGAGCAACGGATACCGAGAGGCAGAACATTTTTCGAAAATTCTATAATTACATGGCGCGGCTTTAAGTTACAAACTCGGCGCGGTCCAGTTCAAGAATTTCATGCAAATTTCGAAGCCCATAAAACAGGCCGCGTTTGCAGGAAAAGCTCGCAGCATAACGGGTACGACACCCTTGTAAAGCGCCGTTGGTCCCTCGTTTTTCATCAATTTAACAAATACCTCGCGTATCCCCTTTTTATACGTGCCTTCTGGTGCTGTATAACAATAATAATAGTGGGATAATAAATATTACGTTGCACATTTATATCTGTTGATTAATTACTTATTCTAATGGACTCTAATTATTGGGTTGTTCAAAAAGTCATTGCGTTTTTTCCGATAGATACCGTAGATTGTATTTGTAATGTATTGAACGTTTATATAAATTCATCAACCCCATACCCCAACAGCTGACACTTCTAGCTTCCAAAAAAAAATTCATAAATTAATCAACAATTCTTTTTAACATTTCGAAAATGAATCAACACGAGCATTTTCGCTGTTTTACTTTATTACTTCCGAAAAGGAAAGAACGCTGTGCAGGCTTGTGACAAGATGCGTAAAATTTATGGTGACGAGGCTTTAAAAGAACGCCAATGTCAATATTGGTTTGCACGTTTTCGTTCTAGTGACTACAGTGTAAAAGATGCACCTCGCTCAGGTCGGCCATCGGAGGTTGCTGACGGAGAAAATGAAATTTTTCGAGAAAGGGATCATGATGCTTATAGAAAGCTGGCAAAAGATCATCGAACAAAATGGGCAATACATTGATTAATGTCAATTCCTTGTATTGGATCATCCGGAAAGTTCTGCATGAGTTTTCTCACATCTGCGCGGATATCAGAATTTTTTAATTTTGCGCTAATGAGGAAGCCCAAACTCGCGTGTGTGAAGTCGACACCTCATCTTTTTGCACCGCAGGTTTTGATGAAAGTTCAAACTTCAGGTTGATAAGAGAAGTCTTTTTAAACAATGCATCTATAAAATATGCATATGTTCATTATATTTGATTCTATAGTGTCCTAAAGATGGAGAATCAGAAACAATATTTTTGCAATATTATTATGCTTTTCTATTTCAGAAAGGGCAAGAACGTATGCGAGACAGCGCGTAAAGTCTACGGACAAAATACTGTTTCCGATAATACAGCTCGGAGGTGATTTGTAAAATTTCAAGGTGATTTCATTCTCAAAGACGAGGCGCGATCTGGGCATTCCTGCACTGTGAATGATCTACTGAAGAAAGCATCGCCGAAAATTTTCGTTGTACAAGAGCTGGCAGAGAAATTATAAATTGCAAACAATACCGTACAAATTTGTCTCTGTGAATGAATGAACCGCAGAACTTTCCGGTTGAATATAAAATAAACGGTCTTGAAAATCACCGAAGACGCAACGACTTTTTGAACAACCCAATATAATTTTAGAGAGAAAAAAAAGAAAGAGAGAAGAGAATAAAAGTATGTATACGTACCAGTCTGCAGGCGACTCTTGAGGATATCAGGTGGCATCCCCACCAGCCAATTTGCAATACCCGCACAGCCGCCAGCCGTTATGGTAGCCAGTAAGCTAAGCTTCCCTCCTTCTGGAGTAAATTGGTCCTTCAGATATTCGTATGTCATAAAGTACATTCCGCTAGCTGGAATATCTGGAAAAGAAAAAGGCATATGGAGACGCAATAAATCAGGGCTCGCTCGAGTATCCTTGTGCGAACCAAAGATGGCACATAAACATTATGTAGAATTAATAATAGCGAGTAGAGCGTGTGGGTTGGCAGATAGAAGGCATCCTGTTTGATAGGAAGCACATCAAAGCATATAGATAACAGTTAACAAAATCCAGTTTCCTTCGGGCCAGTGTGCTGCCGCTCTGGTCCCAAGTATCGTGCTCCGTCTCAAAATCGTAATCATAAAGTGAAACAACATGACATTTGTTCTCTTCCTTCTCGTCGTCTTGTCGTTGGTACATACAAATTTTAACACCTTGTCACGCGCCTCGTTATAGTAAATTCAACTTCGCTTTCCGTGTAAATTATTTTATATATACGTGACGCGCGCGTCGACATATTTTAATGTATAACTAATGTACATACTATTTTTATATACATACTAATATATCATAAAATGCCTTCTATCAAAGTAGATTCAACGTTGTAAGATAGATTAAGAAGTCACAAAGTAATCTATATACAAGTTCGAAATGTTCTGCCGCAGTATAAAACCGTTGATTCAAATTGCTTCGTATATTCAGGATCAGTGTATGGGACAAATTATCGATATCGGTGACGTGTGGGAGATCAAATGCCCGCAGGGATGCACCTGTGAGATCCAGAAGTATTCCGATCTGTCCCTGCATCAATGGGCCGGCACGAACAGAAATAATAATCAGGTAATGAGCAAACGGACAACCAACGTATTCGCTCTTCCGTAATCTAACGCATCCTCGCTCGACAGGATATACCACCTTCCGACGATGTTGATTTTAACATGGACAATCCGATGGCTCACGAATTGCTGAAAATCGCGACGTGCGTGATTGTTGACAACCCCGAGGAACTTTTGGCTAAGCTTCCCTCGGATATACAGGTCACACGAAGAGCATACGTAATTTCGTACGTTTATACATCTCTTTTAAGTAACTCATCTTGGCGTTTCATCAGGTTCTGACGTTACTCGAATCGGGCAGCGGGGACGTTGATATTCTTCTGCAAGCCGCTGCATTCCAACGCTTCACCGAACTGATATCGCTGGACGTTCAAGGGCTAGATTACAGCGACCCCTCCATGAAAGAGGCGAATAATCGTACGGAAAGAGGCGGCGTTATTCTCGCGTCTGACGCAATGTATCCTCTAGGACCCACTTTACTGTATCTAAATTTGGAACGAGTCAAATTGTCGAATTTAAATTTGCCGAACAAGGGCAAGGCGAACCTGGTGATCAAGCCGATGAATTCGCAGGAAACGAAGACAATCGACGAAAGCCAGATGTCTGCGAGCAATACCAGCCAGCACAAGGGTCACAGGCTCATATTTCTAAGCCAACAGAATAACGAGGACAAGGAGATATTGCCATACAATCTGTACAAACAAGAACTGGAAGGCTACAGAGAAAACGTTGAGCTGTTTGCCGCGCTCGGTGCGCTGACTCATTTAAGGGTGTACGATTGCGCCCTGAAAGATATATCTTGGCACATGTTCGACGGCCTCAACAGCCTCCTCTATCTCTCGCTGGAAAAGAACAGTCTGAAGTTCATTCCCGAATTTTGCTTCTACGGCACGCCGAACTTGAGATCGCTCTCACTCGCAGGCAACGAATTATTGACACTGAAGTGCGTAGACCTGGCAGGATTACTTCTGCTGGAACATCTGGATTTGAGACAAAATAATCTAACGTTCCTATCGGAGTTGTCGTTTCCGCCATTCCCAGCACTTGTCAGCGCTGATTTCACGGACAACCCTCTGGATTCCATTTTTCCAAGGTAATGAGATAATACTCGACGTGCTTCCACGATTAAATCTGACGACTATCGTACATTTATTTCAGTACCTTCGAGATCATGAATACGACAATAAAACTGTATGTCGGTGGTGCGGCGGCAAAACTGAAACTGCAGAAGAACTCGTTACTGGGTTTACGCCGCGCCGAGATACTGCACATGTACAATCTAGAGATACCTGTATTAGAACGTTTCATCCTGCAAGGAGTGCCGTCGTTGACGCACCTCAAGATGCGAGGAATCGTCTCGAGCATCGATTTCGACGCCTTTGTCGACCTTGCCAATTTGCTGGACCTCGATCTAAGTAATTGTCACATTCAGCGAATTTCTATGGACGCCTTCTACGGCTTGGAGAAAGTCGGGAGAATTGACTTGTCGAATAACGATTTTGAAGCGATACCGCCCGGTTTGTTCACCGCTCAACAGCAGAAGGAACTGAGAGAAATTATACTTACGGGGAACAAATTAACTTCGCTACCTTTAGATTTCTTTAGAAACCTGAGGCTGCCGAATAAACAGACGCGCGTACAAAATATAAGATTGGACGACAATCCTTGGGATTGTGCGTGCACGATGGTCACCTGGAATCCCAATTTGGTAACTAATATTGCACCTGATCTCCATTCGTTCAAGTCATTCGCTAATAACTTAAACAATTACAAATAAAAAAGAAAATTCAGAATGTATCTCTAATCATATATTAGTAAGCAATACAAAAATCGTTAACGGCAACTTTGTGCAACGCAGGTGAACAGAAATAAGGAGACGGCTCCGCGCTGTTCAACGCCAAAACGATTGCAGAACTGGGGAGTCTTCTATGCATTGCGCAAAGGTGGTTTACAATGCAGAGGCCCGAAGAAAAGGTACATTCGAAAATTCCTGAAGACGAGAAGCTTTGATGAGGATAACAATATCAGTTAGCCAATCTCTCTCTCTCCTCAAATTGTACGTGTATACTGATATACACGCAGGATTAACGAAAGAAATACATAAAAAAAAATTTTTACATAACGTGCCTCCCTTTCCAAAAATATAAATTTGATCCTTCATTTTAGGGCAAGTATTAATATACGTTTGCGCACGTGGAAATTACCGTTTCATATTCTAACAAAGTTCTACTTGATATATGCAAATGTAACATCTTTTAAATGTTATTTGATAAACAATATACATCATTGAGAATTGTAACATTAACAAAATATGAATCATACCTCTCAACAATGTGGCACAGGTGCCTTTATAGATGCTTCTGATGCCCCCTTCTCGATACAACTGCTTCGCGCAATCCAGAGGCCCGTTGTACTTCGGCTTCGCGTCCGCATGCTGTATTTGCAACAGACACTTGATACGCTCACCGGGCGCCATTATCACGGTCGTGAATATACCGCTAAATGCGCCAGCGTAGAACAATTGCAACGTCGTGAGTTTCTCGTCCGAAACTCTCTGCTGCAGCTTCTTTCCAACGCTGTATCCGAAGAAGCTTATGGCGAATATCGGCGCTACGCCGGATAACGGCGCGCCCATGCCTGAACAAATAATAAAACATATGTTAATTAATAATTTCCTCTTTCAAAAATATATTTTACACAAGCCTGTAAAATATGTGAATAACAATTTTATATATAATATAATTCACTAGAGGCAATAAATATCCTTGCTGACTTAGAAACCTAGTTGAGCTACTTGAATACTATTTATACATCATGTTACATAAAGTTTTGCAAATTCTAAAACGTTAAATTGTTTGCTTCATCCTGATACAACCATCAAAGCGCAGTTGATATGTTTATAGCAATAGCTTGAGAATATCTTTATAATCTCAACATTGAAATTGGAACTGCCTGACATGACGATATTCGTATGATGTTCGTATGATGTTCAGCTTGCCTACTTATAGAAACCTGATTAAACTACTTGAATACTATTTATACATCATGTTACATAAAGTTTTGCAAATTCTAAAACACTAAATTGTCTGCTTCATCCTGACACAATTATCAAAGTGTCAATCAATATGTTTATAGCATAAGCTTGAGAATATATAAAAATATCTCTATAATCTCGACACTGAAATTGGAAGAGCCTGACATGGTATGGTATTTGTATGGTGTTCGGCGGAAACATAAATACCCTTATATAAGCCACGTATTCCCTCTTTCGTGACTGTTTTCTTAGCACAGTCCCATGTGCCGGAGTACAGAGGCAATTCGTTAGGTCCTGGCACTGGCATCGTCTGGAGCCGTACCTGTACACAGAACGTTTCTTAATATGCAAAATAACGCACATGATTGCGTGCAGACGCGGAGGGCAAATTGTAATATTAGATAGAACGTAGGTGAGAAAAGGGAGAGCAGGAACAGGTCGACTCGACCAATTTGATTTAACAAGCTGATTAATTGAAGTGGTAACCTCACCTTTATGGTGTCCAGAGGATGGCCAGCCACCACGGTGCACACCCCTCCGAAACCGCCGCTTAAGAAATATTTAACAGGGCTAACGCTGTCCGACATGATTATTGTGTAATTGAAAGTCCGTCAAAAGGGTATCGAGGAAATCACAGCTACTAAAACTCGTTGGGCAAGCCAGAGGGGTCAAAGTACACCGGCAATTGGCTCTTGACGTATCGAGATCGTAAGTTCCATTAATCGGCAGTGACGTTTTTCACAATGTTTTACGTAACTTAATGTACATCCGTATTTATAGTGCAATGACATTTTAATAATAAGGATAAATGCGAGAAAAGTAATCACAAATACATGTCATAAACGGCTGGTCTCACCGGTCTGTTCTTTCGCGAGGCATTTTGTTACACTATCTGCACTCGAAACGGAGATAAGTATATACATCGTGAGGGAAAAAAAGAGGAGAAAGTCTGTACATATGAAAGTGTAAAACAAATCAAAGCATCCGAATATGTCACTGACATATGATGTATATACAATACATGCATCAATCTCGTCGGTGTGTCGCTTTAATTTTTATTTCAATTGTGGATCATATCGTGATCGAATCATCTGGGGGTCGATTATTGTGTATCTTGAAACGAGGTGAAAATAATAAAAATGAGCAAATTCACTAGGTATTGCATGCTAAGGAATTAAATTGTAAATATTCTGTCGTAATTTGAATTTGCTCACTATATAATTTTGTAATTTTCACCTTATCCGACCAAAATACACAATTAATTCCCTGACGGCTTAGATTTCCGAAATAACGATACTTCATCTTGTGTGCAACTATCCTTAAAAATAAGAAATAAATAATTCGACAATACGGTAATAAAAGATATTCAACATAATTCGTTTTAAAAACTGCAGACATGATAGACATAATGGAATTTTTCACTTGCGAATTCAAACTCAGTGTACAAAAAAACTACTCTTCTGTTCCAATCGAAGTCGCAAGAAAAAAGTTAGAATGTGCAAACCCGTGTACATAATTATATAATTTTCATTCTTTTGCAATGCTGCGCTTCGGGCGACTCATTCGAAAGAAGCGGTACTCCTGGCCGCGAGGGGGTCACACGTCGCGCGATTTTCTCGTGGCAAGTATGGCGATTAGGCACTCTGCGAGTGCAGCGTCTCTACTCCCGTATTTTTAGTACATTGCGTGACAGCTGGCGACACGCCGACACGTTGGCTGCTTTTATGCAAATGTAGACAATTATGATTTTGGTACAGTAGAATAAGTAGGGTTGCGAACGTGTGATAATTATTGATGTTCGACACGTTGACGGATGCATGTCACTGAACCGGCTTTGGGTTATCCCGGTTTCCCTCTTCCGACGAAAGGTACCGCACATTTCATTTATTTATTTATCGGAATTGCTAGCTGAAATTAGGACACGTTAGTTCCGTTAGTTAAACGAATTAAATATGCAGCGGCCGATTTGCCAATTGTTTGTTTACTCCGGAAAATAATACGCGTCGCCGGCAGGATTTTCGGGAAGATTCTCGTGTTACGTTCTCCGAAAAGGCATCAACAAAACGGTATTGAAAACACGCTTAAATTTTTAGATAATATATAATTTGGAGAAGATGAGGATTGTGCAGCTCAGAAGGAATCGCTTGTTCCATATAATGATTGGCAGCACCCTGGTACTGCTGGTTTTGTACATTCTCCTTAATTTTTCCTCGGACAATCATATGAGTAATATAAAAGAGTACTGGGCACAAGGTCTTGGAAAGAAACAGGTAAAGTACTTACTTTTAATTGATCTAGTTTGTTTTGCATATGTTTATGCCAAAAATTTGTTACTGACTTTCGAGCAGGGGAGACTGGAGATTAAAGTAACAGAGGCAAGTTGTAGCACCTATAAAGTGTTAAAAACAAGATATAAAAGCATATTAGAAATTCGTATTAGAACGCTACAAACTTCTCTTACAAAACTTTTCTTTCATCTGGTTTTGATATTTTTTATATAAGTGTTACGACTTGCCTCTGTCTTGCCTTGTACTTTTAACTCCAGTCTCCCCTGCTAGTCAATACCAAATTTTCCACATAACAGTCTTCTCTGCTTCTACTGTGTCAAATATATCTCCTTTCCTATGTCAAATGTATCTTATTTTAATATCACAGGTAACAGTGTTTGTAGAAGGTTTAGGAAATTATGAGCTGCGCGATGTGCCGATTAGAACCGGCCCAGGCGAAGATGGGAAACCGCACATTTTGAGGGACGATCAGCTGAACGATGTTCAGCAATCAGAGTCCGAATACGGTATGAATATGGTGTGCTCTGATGAAATCTCATTGTCGAGATCGATACCTGATACCAGACCCGCAGAGTAAGTCCCATTTCTCTGCAGTTGGCAATATTAGTGTCTCTGATGTATTTTTTAATTTCTGTTTCTCTCTCTTTTTTTTAATATGATACAGATGTAAGCACTGGAACTATCCGGAAGAATTGCCACGTACCAGCGTCATTGTAGTTTTCCACAACGAAGGTTGGTCTGTCTTAATGCGAACTATCCAGAGCGTCATAGATCGTACTCCGTCGAAGCTACTCGAAGAGATTCTCCTCGTTGACGATTTCTCTGATAAAGGTGCGTGCCTGCGTGTAACGTGACAAGTTACAGTACTTGCACTTGAGGTGTTCGATGGTTAACATATCCGACAAATTAATGCAATCTTTTTCAGAGAATTTAAAGAGCGATTTAGATTCCTATATTGAGCAATGGGGTGGGAAAGTTCGATTACTTAGAAACTATGAAAGGCAAGGTTTAATACGAACGCGATCTCGAGGGGCACGCGAGGCCAGGGGCGAAGTAATCGTATTTTTAGACGCTCATTGTGAAGTCAATGTGAATTGGCTGCCTCCGCTTTTAGCGCCAATTGCTGAAAATAGGTAAAATAATTCAATTTATATTGGAATAAAAAATATCAACGTTTTTTTTTGCAACTTAAAAGAACTGAAGTACAGTAAAATTCTTAAAAATAGTTCGGATAATTGAGGCTCATTTACTAGTTCCGATAATAAAGCGCTATCGTTCAGAAAACTGAAGTCGAGCATTTCGAGTTTTTATTTTCCAAACAGCTCCAATAATAAGAGCTCAGCTCTAACGAGTTATATTGAGCACAAACTTGTTCGCATAAATGAAGCGGAAAAACAAAGTTTTACTGTATACTATCAAATAGAATAATAAATCCTTCGTTCTTCTAATATAAATGATATAACTTGACAGTTTTTCTTCTAAATGCATTTCTTTTCTTCTAGAAACGTAATGACTGTTCCTGTGATAGACGGTATTGATCACAAGACTTTTGAATATCGTCCTGTGTATCAAGAAAACCATTTGTACAGGGGAATTTTTGAGTGGGGCATGTTGTATAAAGAGAACGAATTGCCTCGGCGGGAAGCCAAGACGCGTGCACATGACAGTATGCCGTACAGGTGCGACTTCTATTCTTTCTACGTGCTGTCCTCTGTCTAGCTTGTTATCTCAATATTTTTTTCTCCAATATTATCTCATTTATATATGGGCCTTATAGGTCACCTACGCACGCCGGTGGCTTATTCGCGATAAATCGACAATACTTTTTATCATTGGGTGGATACGACGAAGGATTGCTCGTTTGGGGTGGAGAAAATTTCGAACTGTCCTTTAAGATATGGCAGTGCGGTGGAAGTATTTTATGGGTACCGTGCTCACACGTCGGGCACGTGTATCGAGGATTTATGCCTTACACCTTCGGTAAACTTGCTCAGAAAAAGAAAGGACCATTGATAACTATTGTGAGTAATCTATCATCGTGCATAAATATATATCATTACCGAGAAATAGTTATAAAGTGAATTGTTTTTCTAGAATTATAAACGAGTTATCGAAACGTGGTTCGACGAGAAACACAAGGAATTCTTTTATACGAGAGAACCTCTGGCTCGATTGCTCGATCACGGCGATATATCTGAGCAGTTGGCCTTCAAAGAACGCAAGAAATGCAAGAGCTTCCAGTGGTACATGGATAATGTGGCATATGATGTGCTAGATAAATTTCCAGAACTCCCACCAAATATTCACTGGGGAGAGGTACGTTTGACCAGTAGCTTAAATGAATGCATTCGTTTTAGTTTTCTCAATAAATTTTATATATGTAATTTTTATGTTAAACCTTGACAATACTTTTTTAGCTACGAAATGTGGCAACTGCATCATGTCTAGACACTATGGGTCACGCACCACCAAGCCTCATGGCTACTTCCCACTGCCATGGATTCGGAAACAATCAAGTAATTAGCAAATACTTTATTTTGTTATTCTATCTCCTATTTTTAGTAGTTTCTTTATTTCATACTTTATTACCTCTAATTCGGTAATATTTCTCATTAGCTCATCAGATTGAATGCCAAGGGTCAATTGGGTGTCGGTGAGAGATGCATCGAAGCGGATGGCCAAGGTGTAAAATACGCATTTTGTCGTCTAGGAACTGCAGACGGTCCGTGGCAATATGACGAAGTAAGTCTTTTCTTTTGACGATAGAAATTTCAACCGGATAAATAAAAATCTTTACACGAACACGTTATGGATACATGTTAATTCGCACTTGCAGAAAACGAAGACTCTGTTACATAGAGTACATAAGAAGTGTATGGCACTCCATCCCCAAACTCAGCAGTTATCTCTGATGCCGTGTGACATAAACAATACTTATCAGCAGTGGGGTTTTTATCAAGTCCATCCGCGATGGTAATATGGAAGACTTTTCTACTTATCAAAATTTGTAAATTATTTGAGATTGTGCACAAGAGTGCAAAATTTATTTAGTAATGTGTAATAATGCAGGATAGTTTGTTTGCGACGAATTATACATTAGTGAGTGATATAAATAAATAATAATTACGAAGTTGAATATTGACACATCGAATAAATATTATACGATAAGAATAATCTCGGATTTTATATCTGTTAAGACGTGGAAGACAGAAGTTTATTTTTTGCACTTTATATGAAGTGCAAAAAGTAAATTTAATTTACGAGCTTCTTGAAGTTTCTACATTTAGATAGTAATTAAAACGGCGTTTAGATAATTTTTTAAACAAAACTATCCCAGTTAAAACATATTGCTTCCTCTTCATACTGACTGATAAGCTATAAAACTATCGTAAAATAACCCGTTAGGCAAAAATGTTTTAGACAAAAGTTGTATAATTTCAAGCATATGCATAAAAAAATTAAGGTATAATAATTAAAAAATCAATAGTTTACGAAAATGTTTTTTAATTTACTTTTTTTTCTCATTTTATATTTTATGTCGAAATATAGCATGATAAAATATCTCATAAAATATTGATTTTTCGATAACTTTACTTAATATTTTTAATGCAGAATAATTAGAATAATCATATTATATAAAAAAAATTATATAATTCCATTTAAAAAAGTGGAGATGATCTTAATCTGACCTTGCCATTGCCTCCCAAAGTGATTATTTCAACATATTAGTCCCTTGAAATTAAACAACTTTTGTTTGAAACATTTTTTTCTCAAATGTTTTCTTTTCAAGATATTCAAGTGTGTTAATTTAAATAATTCATCCTGTATATGAAAAATATACACATCTAAGAAAAATATTTTGATATATAAACTTCCTGTTACTACTGCCAAGATTTCTTCTCATGATACTTCTAAGATGGACTGAAATTCTCTAAAATCTCACTTAAAATATTCTTTTTTAGTATCAGTAACGTTTTTTTAATTCTTGACTTCCAGGATAAGTTGATAATGTTACTTCTCATATATTGTTCAAAAAATAGAGATTGATATTATGATATAGAAATTTATATTTATTTCTAAATGAAAATTGTAATTTATATATACATACGCTATATATACATCAGTAACGTTTTTTTAATTCTTGACTTCCAGGACAAGTTGATAATGTTACTTCTCATATATTGTTCAAAAAATAGAGATTGATATTATGATATAGAAATTTATATTTATTTCTAAATGAAAATTGTAATTTATATATACATACGCTATATATACATCTGCGTGAGTCTTATGCAAGAATGTGTGTAAAAATTTATACATAAAAAAATATGTACATTCCAGAAAGTTAAAATACGTATTACATATTTTTAAGACATTTTTATTTTTATAGCAGTGCATCAAATTCTTCATTACTATTGTAAAACATTTTACATATTAATAATTAGAATATAGTAATATAAAATTAGAAGTAATATTATAGTATATTATAGTAATATAAAAAAACATATTTTCTCTTATTTTGCATAATGGACAATCTATTTATGTAAGCTTTTCGATATAATCAGGAGAAGTATATATCTTTGTTATCCTATTGTAAAATTGCTTGCATAAAATTTTATACTTGTTAATGTTTGTTCCAGATTTATACTTTGTATTCTCAAAAATTAATCTTTTTATCTTTATTGATGAAATGAAAAGTTATTGGAGCTAAGAAAAACGAAAAAATGATTAGCGCAATATTGTGCATGTTTATTTGTAATATATGGAATAGAGTGTTTTCGAATATTACGATCTTAATGTATAAGTAATTTTGAGATTTATAATGCAGCTACTATATAAATGTACTTAACGACATTTACGAATTACGTTAATGACTATTATTATGATTAAATTTAGAGTTTAAAAGTAATAGACGTGCAGTTGATTTATAACGTGAAAATGCAATATAGATAAATATTTTATTACATGCAAGATGTACTTAATGTTTAGTTATACTTAAACAAAATTCTGTTGTACATGAGATTATTATTTCGATTAAATTGTTAAGAGCAATACGTATGTATTATGTATATCTTTCTTAGATACAAATGTTAATATTTACAAGATTTCCCAAATTTATCACCTTTTCCTTTCAATAATAAGAAAAATTTTCCATTAGGGTAAAATTTAACAATTTTATAACGTTCTTATATGTTCATTATGCCGAAAAAATAAATACGAATTATGAGTTCACACTGAATATTTCACATTTTTTTATTGTTCTGCGTAACGTATCTAAAAAATAATACATTATGTAAAACTTTTGCAAAAAGCATACAATTAATCGTAAATGTATAGACTTTTGTAACCAATGAAACGTACGTGTGCACAAATCTGTAAACGAAAACGAAAAATCATGTTACAAAGATAACAAAAATATGAAATTATGTAACTATTGTTAATTATACTTACTGCAAGAGTGCGGAATCAATTTTAACACGTCTGATGATTTATTGAGTCGTATTGACAATGTCATCAATCTTCAGTATACTGCGTACAGTTTCAGACGCAAGAGTTATTGAGCTAGTAGAAACTAGCAGTGGTTGAATCACGTTCTCCTCTAATATATTAGTGATGGCGCCTTTCCGCACATTAATCCCCGCTGTTACCTCACCCTTTGCGTGTCGATTGCGAAGTTCAGTTACCGTAGCTATCGGATTTAAACCCGCGTTTTCGGCCAACGTCGACGGAATCACCTGTAATTTAAAATTACAATATCATTAAATATCGTATCAATTTTATTCTAAACTATTATACAATTAATTTTATCAGTTTTTTTTGGATGGTAAACAGTTTAATACAAATAAAAATAATTATACGTGAAAAAGAGATTCAACAGAATCACTCTTGTTATCTGCACATGATATAAAGAATTTATATAAATGAAAAAATATTGCACATGACAGAAATAAAAGAAAGAAAACAAGATAACTAGATAAACCAGTTGTAATAATTCTTTTTTAAAGAATAGAAATTTAAGTAATACAGAAATAATAATAGAAAATTCTTAAAATCCATTTACAAAAAACTGTAAACTACGTTTAATATACTAACCTCAAGCGCATTTGCAAAGGCCTTGATGCAATATGCATTAACTCCGCCTAAGGTCACTGCGTATTCTCCCAATTTTAATGCCAATTCAATCTCTGGTGCACCACCACCGGCAATCAGCGCTTTTTGCTTCACTAAACATCGGATGACGCACAAGGCATCGTGCAGCGATCTCTCGGCTTCCTCCAATACTAATTTGTTGCTACCACGTACGAGAACCGTGACTGTTTTCCCATGATTTTGGATTCCTGTGACCTGCATAAAAAAATGTCACAAATGTATAACTTATATTTTAGACGTAACGTGTTGCGGATTACGAAATGAAAGAAAGACGATATCGTGTATTCTAATTTTCGTTTTTTTTTTCCTAAGCAAAAACACACCTTAACAAATTTCGAATTTCCAGTTTGAACCTCTTCGCAGAGCTCCGCGTTGACAAGATTCTCAGACACAAAATGATCCAGCGACGCGATTGGTCTGCAACCGAGCGTTTTGCACACGAAAGGAATGTCCTCGCGCTCCACATCCTTTATCACCATGACCTTAATTTTGTCCAAGAAATGTATCGCAAGATCGCTGACAGCGTCGCGCAAGACTGACTTTTGCACGAGAAGTACATTGCAACCCGTTTTCTTGATCTGTTTCACAATATTCAGTATGTAAGCACGTTCCTCCTTCAAAACACGATCCATCGCTGCATAGTCTGATACGATAACGTTATGATCCATCTGGAAATAAACAAGAATTTGATTAATTCATCTATGCAAAGGATCCATGAGTGAAAATAAATACACGTGTGTCGCATTATATCACGATACTTACGTCGGTTTTCGGCGGTGAAATGCAAAATTGAATTAATCCAATCTTAGCTTTCTCAATACGTTTCGGGCCGTTAACATTACAAGATTTCTGGGTAAATATTAATCCATCTATTAATTCAGTGTCTTCAACGGTACCCCCTAACTTCTTTATCACTTTGATGTCCTATGAGAATGCACGTAAGCAAATTTACTTTAGTAATTCACATAGTCTACTAAATAATATAATAATGAAAAGAATTTGCTCTCACATTTAGGTCAACTGACACTTCCTGGCCTTCTTCTGTAACCTTTAATACTGCGTCCACGGCGAGTGGTGCAAGAAGACTAGATTGTTGATGCACAACCTGAAATGTATTAATAATAAACATTAAATTATTGTATATGCAATACATATTATAAATATGTTAGATTTTGTGTATGAAACCTGACAATTATAGTGTAATATTAATATTATTGTCAAATTCATTTTTTAGATGTACCTTGGAATTAAGAGATGTTGCTGCAACCTTTACAAGAGATTCTTTGTCCGTTAGGTCAACAGGTATGGACATGTGCGACAGAATTGATACTGCTTTAGATGCCGCTTTCTGAAAGGCGTCGCTGATCGAAGTGGGGTGAATGCCCTTCTGCAACAAACGTTCGGCTGCCTCTAACAATGATCCACCTATCACGACGACACTCGTGGTACCATCGCCAGCTTCTATATCTTGAGCCTTTGACAACTCGACGAGCTAAACATAAGATAAGTATACATTGTAATATAAAATTCTTCACGAACGTTCAAAGCGAGAGAAATTTACTTCTCACCATTTTTGCAGCGGGATGGATTACGTTCATCTCTTTCAAGATAGTGGCACCATCATTTGTGATAGTAACCTCTCCATTACCAGCTTGAATCTATTATATTTGCATATATACAAAATGAATTAGTATTACATATGTAATAAAGTTTTATATATATAAAACTTTATTAATCAAAAATTCTGATGAATATAAAATTTACCATCTTGTCCATTCCTCTAGGTCCAAGACTTGTGCGTATCGCATCGCTGACAGCTACAGAAAAAAAATAATTTATCTATAGTAATCAAATCATAAAAAACAAGCTATTGTTGTAATTCGTTCATCTCGCAAATAATAACAGATGTGAAAATTACTTTAAAGAGAGGTTCTGTTTTTGCTAAAGCGTGACAGAAAATTATATTTCATTTACGTAATTTATTTCTATTGTAACTTATCTAACAATTTAATTCGATATGACGTATCAATCAAAGCATAACACTCTCTGTGAATACTGTGCATTCAAGCTGGCAGTTCGCCGAGCGATTGCTATATGACTAACAAACAGCAGCTCGTACACATCGTTTAACGACAACAATTTTTGTCGTATGAAAAACTATCTATTGAAATTACTGTCATTACTAGATAATAATATTCCCATTGATAAATGCATAGATTTCCATTTTTTGATAATACATTTTGTGTTTTTAAAAAGATTTTCATCATATAAATAAAAATTACTAAAACATAGACATTATAAACAGAAAATAAGCAATATTATCAAATTTATATTTATATAATAGCATAGATTAAAAAGTCAAAGGAGAACAATGATGACTTATTTAAATAGCAAGTGAACAATTTATTTTAATAAACTAAATCAGTCAGTTAGAAAACAAAGAATGACCTGGCCGCTGTGATAAAGCAGCTAACAATTTTTATCGTGTTAACGCGTTCGCTCGACGAGCATGCTAGCTGTTTTGCCGGCACGAAGTCTCGAACGCACCCATTGCTATATAAGGTAACATTTTCCTCAGCTTCGCGCTATGGAGGTGGTCCGACCGATCGAACTGCGAGGTTACATCCCGAGAAAACTACCGGGTCGGTCGCATATCGCGAATCGCAATCCCTTACCTTTGGCCGCGTTGATGTTGCTACTGCGAATATCCGCGGGTTTGCTCTTGTCCTTGTAGGCCTGCCCATGAGACCCGCGGCTGTCGCCATTCTCCATCGGCTTTCTCACGTTCTTGGTCATGTTTCGTCGTCGCGACTGAACGATTCTCGTAATAGGTTAGGAGGAAGAATACGTTTCCGTTTCCTTCGTTCGAACAGCGTAGAAGCCAGCTAACGTGACGCTCTACGATTCGTGATTATTTCACACTTGACGGCGAAGCGTGGCAAAACGTCGATAGAAGAACGTCACGATGTTCGCCGAGAACGGAGCACGCCGAGGAGCACGTCGTATCGTTGCGAAGACTTGCGATGCGAGCCGGATCTTCCGCGCATGCGCAGCGCTACGACCATGATTTGAGCCTCGTAGTTGCACTACGTTACACTTTATACACTTAAAATGGCAGTGGTTTGTCCTAAATTCTTATTACAGGTACTCGTACCGTACACAGTCGTATTTATTCGCGTTATTGCTTCATCTCCACAAATTTTTACATTTAAAAGAAATAGATATCTATCCGATTGTTGGACAGAGAAAAAGCGAAGCTCTCGGTGTAAAAAGTGCAAGTAACACGACATCAAACCTATATTGCTATTGGTGAAACATTGACGGTGAAACGTTTCCGAAAGATATATATATAGTAATTGTCACGCGTTGATTAATGACAATGTAATTTCTAAAGCAAGTGACAAATAAACAATTATTGCTTGGAAACAATAGCTGGCGATTGGACACCGACAGCACTGAAAGTGATGAAAAAATTGATTCGAAATATTTATTGAAAACGCGATACTTTACGACGTCAGTTTTGAATAATTTTAATGGAACATTAATACCTTATTAATTCAAGCTAGAGAATTTTAATTGAAATAATTTTTTATTGTTCCATAATTAAAGAAAATTTTTTAAACAGTACACTATATAATATATATTATGCAATGCTAGTGCAGAGTTTCTATATTAATATAATTACATTTTAATGTTTACTTTTTAATTTTGCAAAAAATTTTGGAGCAATTTTGAACACATAGTATAAGTAATAGTGAGATCATTTTTCGTTGAAGAACGCGATTACGAAAAAGCATATTTGAGACTCAAGATTAAGGTAGATTTATGAGCGAGGAAGCGCTCGCTCGTATATCCCTCGTTGAATTGGAGCGCCCTCCGACAAGCTCCTATTCGGACGCCCGCGCAGGGCCGGTCCTGACGGCGAGAAGCATATCAACAATCTCCCCTTCCCTCTCTATAGTCCCCAACCGACAGCTAGGTAGGACTCAGATTACAGAGCTGCCAGACTTGAGACGCGAGTCAATGGAGAGTCACGCGAGAATCGAGCGGAAAGAACGTGTACACGGAGAAAAGGCATGTTGTATACTTGCGCGAATACGTATAAACGTGCATGCCCATCCCCCGTGTACGTATTCCCTCCACGCGACCGCCCGTCGCGCGTCTACCATCACTGACTCAGAAGCACCTGTTGCTCGCCGCCTACCTGTGTTACTCGCTCCGCGCCGCGGCACCGCTCCGTGCTCTGTCCACAGACCACAGTCAGTACGTCGCGCGGCGTTGCAGAGCGAGGAGGACGCACGTACAGCGCGGGCCGGTCGACTCTTTCGCGACGTGAGTTTTGCGCGCATGTAAAACGCGGTGTTTTTGTGAAATCATACGAATCGGCGGAGCGCGTACGCGGGAAGGATAATATGCCTCGCCGCGCCGGTATTTCCCGGACCGACAGCTGAGAGACGCGCTGTCCGATCCGTTCGCGATCGTTTCTCCCGTCCGCGCGTCGCCGGCCGAATTTTGACAATCGATCCTGTCCACTGATGTGAATCTCCCTGTGTGTGTGTATGTGTGTATGTGTGATCCGCGCCACACGACCCGGCGATCGAATATATCGCGTATCGGTCTTCTCCGTGGTAATTAACGTCCGCGATTCTTCGTTCCGCTGTCCGCGACGCACTTTACGCCACGGGAAAATATTGTGTGCGCGCGCGCGCGCGCTTGAACGCACACCATTCGTTTCAAATCGACGCGAGTAGGAAAGTCATATAATCGACAACAATATATCGATCGTTTTCTATCTTGCAAATTTTTTGCAAAAATTCAATACGGGCAATATCGATAGAATACGAAAAAAGGAGGACGGAAAAACGAAGCGAAAACGAGAAAGATATAGAAGAGTATCTAGTGAATCTCTCGTCGCGGAGCATCTCTGCGCGCTCGTCCGGGTGGAGATTGGTTTGCGCGCGCGAAACTATGCGACCAAATTGACGACGCAACGAAGAAGGAAAGGGAGAAGGAAAACGAGATAGAGGGATAGAGAGAGAGAGAGAAGGAGAGCGAGTCACAGAGGCAAGTCGCGGTAAGAACGCCGCGACCGGTTGAAGCCGCGCGAGAATATGTGCGAGAGACGGATCTGAGCGCGAGCGAGCCATGGAGGACGCAGCAGCAGCAGCAGCACCAGCAGCGCAGGATACCTGCTTCGGGACGGGCAGCGTGGCCGGAGCTGTGATCGGGACCTTTCTGACGACGATCCTTCTGCTCGCCGTTGCCGCGCTTCTCTACAAGCAGTGGCGCCGACGTAAGAGTGAGTCCCGTCTCTTTCAACCTGTTGATCCGCCGATTCAATGGAGACACTTTTACATTAGTTTTGCAGCTTTCGAAGGCTGCGAAGGGAAGAAGGGAGGGAGAAGGTCGAGCACTTTTGTAAATTATTTTATAATTTACACTTATTTTAACTATATATAAATTATTAGAAATATGCCATATTTTATTATTTTATAAATGGCATTAATATATTCAAATGGAGTTATAAATCAAGAATAATTATACATATATATGTATATAAAATGCTACATGAATAGCTCTCATACTTACATGTATGTAACAATATATATCTATACATGTATAATTGCTACAAAATTGAATGGCTCTTGTGCATATTTAAAATTGTCAATTAATTTCTTTAAAAATACATTATCTCTGTAAGATTAAATTTAATTAATAATATTTTTAATTTTTGACTTTGTGAAAGAAAGAAGAGAGAAAAATGTTGAGAATGTCTAAATGTCGAGAATCTCTCTCAAGCGAATGTTTTTTGCGAATTTAGGGATGTCCGATAAAACCCTCTTGTTTCATTCGGATAGATAACATTTGAAAATATTGTTCTCTGTTCTTGAAAAAAAATAAAAAAATAAAATCTTGTTCTTTCGATTAGAAAAGATAGATTGCATCGTAGCTCGTCGCAACACAATAAGCCAACGTCATTCAGAGAAATAGCAGCGGGAGGGGCATGCACTTCACACTTCGATGAGTATCCCAGTTCGAGCATTTTAATTGGCGCTATTTTTAAAAGTGTCTCCATTGATTCTATATGTATTTTTCTTTTTTTTTCCTCTCCATCCGGATATTCTCTTATTTAATCTCCGAGATAACTTACGATTTGTTCGACTCAAAAACAACACGCTCAAACGACGATTGGATAAACGTTCCGATGTAATTAGAACGTTCGACATCGCGCGTTACGTTCGATTAACGCTTAAAGTTGCGCGACGTGAAAAATTTGGCATTCTGGGAAAGGAATTGAAAGTGATTTTACATGCCTTGACACTTTCCATACGGATTACTGGTGTAACGAGTCGCGCGGTGCAAGTCTCCGCGTGCGAATTTTATCTGAGCGACCGTTTTACGACCGGTCACTTTAATCTAATTTTCCACACGGAAACTGCGAACTTTGGTATGACAGATTGTCACACAATGGAAAATCTTTTTCGCTAAAAAGATTTCTTAACAAAAAATTGGAATTACTTACGGTAATTCTAGTAATATTGTAGCATTTTATGTAGAAAAATCTACTGTATTATAAAATATATTGTATTCTATTACATAATTCTAGTAATTCTAGTATATATGTACAAATTATGGGAGAAAAATTCTTTTTTTATGGAAAATAGAAATTTTCGACAGAAAATATAAAACAATTTCCTTTTTGTATATATAGCAGATGCGTAATAATTCAGGTAATATTTAATAACTTATTGTCAAATATCTAATAATGTTAGGAATGTGACAAAGTTGCGAAAGAATTGTTTTCAGTCACGAACAACCGCGGTTGTTCCATTCCAATTGTTGAAATAAGAGATTGCTCTTCGATCTCCGTAGGCTCTAACGAATACCTCGTTAGAATTGCATTCCCGCGGCATTCAGGTGCGTGACAATCGGCCGCATTTTTGTCGAGACTTTTGCGTGGTCGCCGCGCCACGCACGTACGGATTCGGTCGGTGAAAGTAATTTAACACGCCGATCGACCGCCGTGTGGCGAGTATACATACGTACCGGTATCTGTTACGATATTTGACGCTGGCGAAATTCCGATGTTACACACGCGTGTGAATTATCAATCCGTGGTATCTCCGCGATCTTGCTTTCGTTCGCGTATATTATATACGTTTCGTCGCCGCCTATAAACATCGCGCGGTTTCCAGCGGTAAATAGACAATCAGAAAAAGCAGGAGTTGTATTCGCACGGCAAATTTAAGAATGGAGAAGCCGCGTTCTCCAGCGCGGCTATTAAAAAAAAACCCGATTAATTTTCTTTATAGGAAACGCGTTATTTCCCGTGAGGCCGAATTCTCCCGGCGGCAGCGTTGACTTCGCGCGAAACGGAAGGGAGTAAAGAATGCGTATTCTTAGAGGAAATACCTCTCTGCCATTGTAACAGCGACGGCAACAGCAACACCGGTGTATGTGTGTGTGTGTGTGTGTGTGTATATGCGTGTGCGTGTAGGACGTTAGTTTCCCGGCGAATTCCTACGTACGAGCGGTATCAACCGTCGCGAGTGTTCGCGAATCGCGACAAGATTTACGTACCTAAGGAGAAACGCGGAAGCGCGGCTGGGTATCTACCTCTTCTACCTGTTCTCGTTCATCCTCGACGGGAATGCTCGATATTCGACGATGGAAAGCCGTGAAGGAATGATTCGTGATAGAGAATCTTCTTATAAGGATACCTCTCGATAATCTCGACTTGATTAATTAGCGGATGTGGTCAATTCAATCTTGAATTTTACACTGGAACTTTTGAAGCGATCAAAATGAATAAGTTCGTAATTTTTTAATTAAAATAATGATGCATTTACTGAGATTTTCCGTGACTTTTGATGCGATATGCAAATAATTCAATACGTCAATACGTCAATTTATCCTCTTCGTCTCTTTTTTTAATAATAGTACATGCAAAAATAGGTATTTTTATTATGTAAATTAATATTCAAATAGTAAAAATATACCAAGACTATATTATATATAATATTAATATACTGTTGAATATATATTAAATATACTACAATATATATAGATAGTATATTTAAATAGTAAAAAAAGGTATACGTCAATTGTCAGTTCTAGTTAAATCTCGAGGTCCAGAATGTCTAGATTCGAGATATTTACCATAGATAATTTTGATACCGAGTTTTAGAAAGATACACATTCTTACAATGCCCTCGCTAAACTTAAAAGGGGCTCCGCAATTTTACATCTAGATCCGTATATAAGTCTTTCGGGACGTAATCAGGTTGGGAAACGCTGGTATAGGCAATTGTAAAAAATAATACGCAAATTGATAGGGTAATTCTATCGATACGGTGATGGATTCGTCCACTCGAGCGGTGAAATGCGCGTTCTATTATCGGATATAAGAGGTCTGCGGCGTACTCTAATATGGCTTCTAATCCTCTCGCGTTGTAGCTTATCATTTAAATCATATTATCGATCTTAAAGCTATATACTTATCGCGCTGTTACAAATCACAAATGCTCTCCCTACTCCGAATCAATTATTCCGGTGATTTTTCACGTCGCAGGTGTAAAAACGGCGAATAGATTGTATCTAACAATAAATGAAATCAATTTGAAATGGGCATAATAATTCGTAAAGAGAATGTCAAAATGGAAAAATATTCAATTTCCTTTTTATTTTATTTCCATGCAACTTAAAAGTTGTATTAATATATATGTAATTTATACATTATATATATTTTCTTAGAATTCATCTTGTACACACATACACATATATTATTAAGGTGTCCATATTTTTCGATTATACAGATTGCTCTTCTACCGCGATCCGCGTTCTCCGATATTTGATACAAAGAGATTTTTAGGTCATACGTGATAGTCAGGATCCATTTTTTCTACTTTCCCCTCAATTTGGCGCCCGATCGTGCCGTTTTCCGCGCGGTCGCGCAATCTCGCGATGTAATAGCGGCGCGAAACCGCATCTCGACGAACTCGCGCGGGTGTTACGAGAGCGAGATGAGTATAGTCGCGGCTGCAATGCGCGACGCGACGTGTCCGCGGGTCCGAGTTATAAGTAATTCACACCGCGGTGCAAGTTGTAAATGTCACTACGTGTAGGTAGGCGCGCGGGGGAGCATCATCGTCGCGCAAATAAGGGGGCCTGCCCGCGTATACGTCTCTCGATCTCGGGGTACCTCCGACGCGACGCGCGATGTTCGCGCTTACGCGAAGGCCACGGCGTTTAGAGCCGCTTGCGAGAGCCCCTTGCGAGAGCATCGGGCAGCGAGGATGATTTCCTACGCGGCGATTATGCGAAATGTCGAAACGGCTGAAGTTATGCCACCGCAATGATGTCGCGCGTCCCGTCCTCGCTCGGTCTCCCCCGCAGCCGCACGGCGAGACCTCCGCCAACGAAAACGCCAGACGGCGAGAAATCCACGCGAGGAGCACTCACCGCATAAATAATCAACTATTCGTTAGTGAAGTGATTATTTGAATAAAGGATTTCATATGCCGCGCCGATTCGCGAATGCCGTTGCAGTCGAGGGAGGCGGGCGATATATCGTGTCGCTGCATCGAACTTTACATTCTCGACGGTCCAAAAGTGGCACAATTTTCGATCCGTGATCGGACTCCGATCGCGTCGTCAAGCGCCGAGGGGATACGTCGGCTTACCTCAGGCTCCGGGCGGTTTGATTTAAAAAGTTGAGGCAAGTCGATCGACTGCGCGCGCGCGCGCGCGCGGCCTCATACCGGTTTTCTCGAGCGAAAACGTGGATCATCCGCCGCCCGCTTGGCTATAGGTCGAAAGAAAGGCCGATCTCAGGGGCGCCCGTTAATGGATGGCATTGTACGCGCGCGCATATATACGCTTTGGAGGCATGTACTCGCGGGCCAGCTGCGATAGACAAGCCCGGCGAAACTGGCGAAGGTCTTTAGAAAGTGCGGCGCGGGCTTCGGGTCCCCTGGTCGGGTCGTTGTATGTGTCTGATACCACACCGCGTCGTGCCGCGCCGCGATACGCGTATACGCGTGTGCGTATATATATGCGCGCGGTCGCATCGCGTTTTAAGACCGTGCCACACGGCCGTGCCGGGATATCTGTATACTTAACGCGAATCCTAAGGCTGTTCCTTGATTCAACACCACGGTGAAGAGGCAAGGGCCTTGACTCGCGACCGAAACATCGACGGTGCCTCTTGAATTGGAGCATGTGAAACTTGTCCCTTCCTTTCCACGATAAAAGTGAGGCAAACTCTGTTAGTCGGTTTAATAATCAAAGCTGTCGAAA